TTTGGCATTCTTCTGATTCCAATGTCAGGCGCCTTAGTAGAACATGGTGAGCTACAGTGTCGAAAGCCTTTCTCAGGTCCAAGAAAATTCCCATCACTTTTTCTTCCTGGTCCAAGGTCCCTCAATATTTTTTCTGCCACCCTTACAAAAGCATTCTCAGTGTTAGCGTTTACCTTAAATGCATATTGAATGTTTAATAGCTTATTTTTTTCCAAGAATGACATTAGTTGTTTTTGCTGTTTCCCCTCAAAAGTAGTCCACCAATTCTCATATCTGCGCCTATGCCTTAAAGCATTTAAATCTACTACTGGTATTTAACTTTTGTGTCCCTGGAAGAATTTCTAGGGTTTGAGGGCAGAGTGAAATTAGTTTTTAACGGCGTTTTGGAAATTGATTTCTCCTTTTTCAAGTCTAAAAGTAGAGAAATTGGAAATTTGATAAATCACCCCAAATTGCTTAACACGATTTGATCTCAGGAACTATAAGTCTAAATGAGCTGAAATTTTCAGGAATTGTAGTCCTTTGAAAGGGATAAAATTCAGTGAAAATTTCAGCTTTCTATCTATAATAGCAAAAAATTCATGACCTTTCAAAGTTTTCCAAAATCTAAATCATAAGCTGAGTACAGAGTTCCAGCCCAGTTTGCCAATCTCTCAGAAAATCCCAAATATGTCAACTTCTTAATAAGCAAATCATGATTGACTCTAATAAATGCCTTGGAGAACATAGCATCCACCTGGTATCCAAGGCATCTGTCAGTTTACTATGGTAGATTAGTAACTTGGTCAGTATAAACCAGAGATAAATACTATATAAACTGTCGAGAATGGAATCCAGTGTAAATTTTGTTGTCAACAAAATTGAGCCAAGCTAGCGCCATCTACCATATTGGAAACTCATTATTTACTGGTTTTGCATCGACGCTACCGACACCTACTTTACATAGGGCTTCAAGGCATTTTTATGATAGATGGCGCCCTGTTCGCATTACAGTCGGTCTGTTCAAATTTGTTTATTCTACACCATTTCAACCTCAATTTCGGAAAAAGTAACTTTTATTTAGGAAAATGTCAAGTCATTTCCGGAAAAACTCAAATCAATTTCAGAAAAAGTAATGGTTATTTCGGAAAAAGTAAAGTTGATTTCGGAAAAAGGAAATTCAAATTCGGAAAATGTAAATTCATTAATAGCTTACTTTTGCCGAATTTGAATTTACTTTTTCCGAAATTAACTTTACTTTTTCTGAAATTAATTTGACTTTTTCCGGAAATGACTTGACATTTTCCTAAACAAAAGTTACTTTTTCCGAAATTGATGTTGAAATGGTGTAGACTTTGGGACATTAATGTTTGCTTAAATTAATTGATGTTTTGTTAATTAGATCAAAAGACAGTTCCTTTATCGATGGTTAAGGATATCCTCAACATATTTATTCAAAGTTCTGATGTTGATGTTTAATTGAACCTGTCATTAATCTAATCAACAAAGATAAAAATAGATCTTCCAATCTATAAAGTTTAAAGGTCTTCGTGAAACACACAAAACCACTTTGAAATCACTTTGAAACACTTGACAACACAAAGAAAGACGAAATGCAAGATCGGCGAACGAAAAACATTATGAATTATTAGTTATGATCAAATAAATATTTTGGCATATTGTCATAAGTTGACATGTCAATGTTATCGACATAGGACGTGTTCCTGATGTGCTGGTATTTTACAATTCTGTTGTTGTCAGCAACATCTAGAAAAACGGAAAAGAGTTATTATGTGGTTTATTACTGGCAATAAGAGATCGCAGGGCCTGGTATCACTATAAACCAACCCCCCCCCCCCCCTTAATCCATGTTGCTCATCAATAAGGATTTCTTTACTCTTCCAGTCTAGTCTAAGTATGTGTACATCAAGCTATCAAGAAGACTGTATAGAAACATTGCAGTAATTTTCAATATCATCCTTTCGAACTGATTAAAAAATAGGTGAAATATAGGTTTTCTTCCAGATTTCTGGAAGAATTGATGTGTTTAAGGACAAGTTGAACAATTTACATAAATGGTGAGATAATAAGTATCTGCATGGTTTCAAAACCACATTTGGTATTCCATCAGGCCCTATCATTAATTTATTTGGTATATAGAGACGCTGATTTTGCAAACAGCTTATTATAGGACAATCAATGTAATAAAGTTGACTATAAGACTTATTCAAGGTACTGTATTACTATAAGCGTAAACTGTCCAAAAATTATCAGCAAATAAGTCCACAATCTCTTGACCACAGCCCACAGATGTATCAAAAACCATACTTTTAAAAATACTATTTGATGCACGTTATTATTAAATTTCCAGAAATTGCTCAGATTACAAGTGAGATCTGCATTAATGGAGGCCAGAACGTTTTTGTAACATTCTTTACTTAGTCTCTTAAACCTTGTTCTGAGTTAACAGTTGTGTTTTTGTGAGGGTTTTTATTAAAATTATATATTTTATAAGATTGTTACATTCAGTGGGGTAATTCCGTCAATAAATAAATAAAACATAGAGGTTCCTCAAATGTTACTTTACAAGAAAATATTTTTCACAACATCGTTGCTTGTAGCTCAATCGCTTTATCTTTTGCATCACGTATCATCAAATTGGTACACCATCCTACATATTTTTAAGGTCCTACGCAAGTCTTGTGCAAATCCTGTAGGTCCGAGTGTAAATATAGCACAAATCCTCATGATTCAAAATTATTTTTAGTTGCATAACGCCACCTTTAGGGACCTTATTAGAGTCCTATTGAAGTACTGTCTAATCATATTGATATACTAGTTCTGTTGAAGTACTGTATACTCCTGTTGAAGTGCTGTGTGGTCCTGTCTAAGAACTGTATAGTCCTGTTCAAAAGTTTGTACACCTACTTACTGTGGACACCTACAAACCCCTTAATCTTTTGCCTCAAAGCCTTGAAAATAGTTTCTCAAAATCTCATATCTGTGTCAATCATAATGTACCTACTTAGTAAAGTCATAGACATAGAGACTTCTTAAATTTAGCTTCTCAAAAAATGCATTTCTATGAGAATTTACAACTTTTTTGTTTATATTTCAGTTCCTTTGAATATTTAATATATTTTGCCTCGAAACCCTAAAAATGATTTCTCAAAATAAAATTTCAAATCAGATATAGGTTTTGATTTACAACTTGTTTTGTTGATTTGTATCATGGAAAAACTTAATTCATAAATCCTGAAACTTTCAAATTGCTGTAATGGCTCAAAGTATTTTTCAGAAATGATTTTACAAGAATTTCATGTTTTTCTCAAGTATCAATGAGTAAAAAAATCCGTAACTTTGGATATGAGTTTCATGTGATCAGCTTCCAACTTGTTTTGTATTATGAGAAAACTCTAATTAAATCCAGTTGCTGTAATGGTTTAAAGTATTTTTTAGGAACCTTCAAAGATGATTTTACAGGAATTTTATGATTTTCGCAGGTATCAATGAGTAAAAAAATCTGTAACTTTGGTTGCGAGTTTCATATCAACTTGCAACTGGTTTTGTATTATGAAAAAGTCTTGAATAATAAATCCTGAAAGTTTCAAGTTACTGTGGAGGATCAAAGAATTTTTCAGGAACCTTGAAAGATGATTTTACAGAAATTTTATGATTTTCTTATGAATCACTGAGTAAAAAAATCCGTAACATTAGTTGTGAGTTTCATATCAACTTCCAACTTGTTTTGTATCATGAAAAACTCTAATTAATAAATCCTAAAAGTTTCAAATTGCTGTGATGCCTTAAAGAATTTTTCAGGAACTTTCAAAGATGATTTGTCAGGAATTTTATGATTTTTTCAGGTATCAATGAGTAAAAAAATCTGTAACTTTGGTTGTGAGTTTCATATCCACTTGTAACTTGTTTTGTATCATGAAAAAACTCGAATTAATAAATCCTGAAAGTTTCAACTTGCTGTCTTGACTTAAAAGTATTTTTTCAGGAATTTTCGAAGATGATTTTACAGGAATTTTATAATTTTCTCAGGTATCAATGAGTAAAAAAATCTGTAACTTTGATTGTGAGTTTCATATCAACTTCCAACTTGTTTTGTATCATGGAAAAACTAGAGTTAATAAATCCTGAAAGTTTCAAGTTGCTATGATGGCTTAAAGTATTTTTCAGGAGTGATTTTACAAGAACTTTATGATTTTCTCAGGTATCAATGAGTAAAAAAATCTGTAACTCTGGTTGTGAGTTTCATATCAACTTCCAACTTGTTTTTAATCATGAAAAAACTCTAATTAATAAATTCTAAAAGTTTCAAGCGGCTTTGATGTCTCAAAGTATTTTTCAGGAATTATTTTACAAGAATTTTATGATTTTCTCAAGTTTCATTGAGTAAAAAAAATGGTAACTTTGGTTGTGAGTATTATCAACTTCCAACTTGTTTTGTATAATGAAAAAACTCTAATCACTTAATGAATAGTTGAAACATATGGATTTCTAAACAAGATCCTCAAATTTAACTTTTTTTTTAGTATGTTTCCCCTCAAAAGTAGTTCCAATAAATCTTATATCTATGCCTATGCCTCAAAGGATTAAAATTGCATATTTGCACTTACTGGATTTTTACTTGTCTGTCTCTTAATGTTGATGGAAGAATTTCTAGGGTTTGAGGACAGCATGCAATTAGTTTTTGGCAGCGTTTTGGACATTGATTTCCTCTTTTTCAAGTATTAAAAAGGCACATTTAGTCATGATTTTTTAACATCCCACATTGAAAGTTTTGAATCATGAATAAATATATGCCTTGTCCTTAAATTGTGGAAGCTCTGGAGGCATTAAGAATTTTTTGCATCATAATTCATAACCATAAGTGCCTTATTCTCTTTGCTCCTTAGAAAAAAGAGATTCTGAAAACGTCCCTAGAGTAGTTTCTTTTGATGTGCTCAAACCCATAAAATTCCTATTTAAGTTTCTAGAACGTTTTGACTCAAAAATAACTTATTTTCCAGGTCTATTCAACTCCCCAATAGCCGTAAACGCTTCGCTGGTACTGATAATGTTCTCCAACTTTGCCTCTCTATACTTCGCTTACATTCTCTACTTCATCCTGAAGGATTTGTGCCTGGTTTGCCTGGGCACTTACCTAGTCAACGTTATAAATTTAGTTTTAATCACTAGGAAGCACAAAAAAGTAAGACTGATACGTGAGTTGATTGAAAATCTGGAAGGACAACAACAGGAGGCCGATATTAGAAATAAAAAGTTGAATAAAACTAAAGTCAATTAAGATGTTTTATGGATATTATATATGAAGTCGCCAGCTTGTGGTGATTATCTATTGGGCAATTATTATTTTTAAGAAATATTTTGTAAAAAGCTTGTTGTTAAGTTTAAATGTTTGTGTGTTCAATGTATTTTTAATAAAAACTATTCTGTGTTTATTTGTTTGGTTTACCTTATAAAAATTATTTTTTTCTTGACATGTTGGTGCAAAATTTATTTTGACTAGAATCGAACATTTTAACAATAAAATCACTTTTTGTTGTCTTCATTATCTTCAGCAGTGGTAAGTGACAAAATGTAAACGCACCCTGCACAGCCCAAAATGCAAGTGATTATTGCCACATAGGCGTAATCATTTAGATTACCTACTGGCACCAAAAGCTCCATTTCGTCAAACTGCTAAAATGAATTTTTGGAATAATAACACTAATGAATTTTGAAGAACTACTTACAGCTTTATAAGATATATTTTTCCATACCACAAAAGATTCAGCTTCTTTAGAGCTAATTGGGGCGCTAACTTTTCTGTCCTTGCCACAAATAATTGAGTTTGGACAACGCACCAAAAGCCATGGTTTATTTAAAATAACCTTGCCATGACTAAAACATAAATAATTAACAAAAATTACTTTGAAATCATTTTTTTGATTTTACCCTCCAATTAAGCTCCTTTGGTATCTCAAATGAATGGGCAATTTTAAAGCAATTTTATCAAGCAATTGGGTACCATTTAAGAAAATGTAAACGGTGTGTTTTGTGGCTTCATGGGCAGGAGCTTCAATGTCCACAATACCATCAATAATAGCATCCAGCTTAAATCAAAACCAATGTAATTTATTTATTGTTTAATTTAGTTAAGTGGTACCTTTTTTAATCTTCTCAAATCATCTACTTGATCTGGATTAACAAACATCCCTTGGCCAATGTTAAGCTTCAAAGCAACACTACAAGCTGAAGTTTTCGGATCCAAGTTTTGAGTTTCTACCAGCCAATTTAAATCTCTGGAATTAACTATTATTGAAAAATTTGGCTTGTGGTAGTTGCTTACCTGTGGAATCCCAAGTTTTCGATTTTTTGGGTAATAGTAACATCCAGGTTTATGCAGTCTTTTTCTGAGCAGTTTATGAGGGGCAAGAAAAATGCAAAAATGTTTAAACAAAATGCAAAGAGGTGGTACATGATTGTGAATGTAATTTGATGGCTAATTTTTACATTATAATCATTATTTGAGGCTTAATAAATTAATTTATTAATAATTACAATGTAAAATGTAAATAAACAAATTAACATAACCTAACTTTTAACTCGAAGCGAAGGTTTATTGTACGGTTCTTCTGCTTCTTCTTTTTTTCTCTATATTTTGAAACTTTTCCTACTGTAGTTAAAAATAGTCGGTTTTCAACTGAATTTACTCAGAAACTATCAGGCTGAGCTCAATTTGCATTATTGCTTATGATAAAGAATTGTTTCAAAGTCTAATTTCTCCTATTTACAACGGTTTGAACTCATTGGTTTGAACTTTGAAGTGAACTTTCCTTCGACGCCATTTTCATCCTTACGTCTTCCTCCATTCTCTTTTTTTCCAGTTTTTCCCGAGTTTTTTTTTTTTTTGATTTGTTCCCGTTTGTTTCCGTAGCTAATCTATAGGTACCCACCTACTAAAACCAACTTCGATTTTCCTCTTTAGTTTATTTGAATATTTCCATTTTTTTGCTTTGTCCCTCATTTTTTTTTTGTTTCTTGTGCTGTGCTGCTTTTTTTCTTTTGCTTTTTCCAGTTTTTTTCCTTTATAGCACTTTTTACCCCACTCCTTATTTCCAGTTTTTTCCCGAACTTTGTGTGGTTTGTTCCCATCGTTTTCTCAGCTAGCAAGTTTTTTCTTCCTCCATTTCCTTAGTTTTCTCTGGCATTCATTTTTAAAGTTTTTTCTTAGTGGTTTTGCTCTTTTCTTAGTTTCTATACCCATCCACTAAACCAGTTTCGTATTTTCGTTCTTACTCCACTCTTTTTCCCAGTTTATTCCAATATTTCCATTTTCTTATTGCTTTTGCCACTCAATTATTCTTTTTCTGGTTTTTTTGGTTTTCTCCAGTTTTTTTCCTTTATAGCTCTTTGTACTCCGCTCAGTTTTTTGAATCCTAAATTTATAGTAATAAGTAGGTACCAAGCACTCATAATTATTTATTGTTATCTCTGGCAAATAAATGATTACAAAATGCTACGTTTTTAGTTTTTCCTATATAGGTATGCTTTTTTCCCCAGTTTATTTCAATATTTCCATTTTATTTTTATTTTTATCTCTGTGTCCCAATTCTTTTTCTAGTTATCCTTATTGCTGATTTTCTCCTCTTTGTTTTCTTATTCAGTTTTGTCTTTTAGCTCTTTTTACGTAGGTACTCCGTTCAGTTTTTTCAGTAGACGACTAAAGAATAACTCTTATATAGAAACATACTTAAGTCTACTTATCTACCTACTCAATTTTCCCTGAATTTCTGCTTTTCAATTCTCAAAGTTTTCTGTCTAAATTTTTTGTCTATTGCCAGGTCTTGAATTGTTAATATCTAAATATCTCTACATAAAGAAAATCAAGAGCCTGGAATAGAAACAATATAAGGTATACCTACTTAAGTCTACTTAATATCTACTCCATTTTCCTTTAATGTCTGCCTTTCAATTCTCAAATTTTTGTCTATTCCCGGCTCTTCAAGAGCCTCTTGATACATATAAGAGCCGGTTTATTCATTTTCTAATAAACTGTCAGGTAATGCATTCTGACGGATAAAAACGCAATATATGTAATCCCATTAAAACTTTTCACGTGGCTTCGGTTTAACAACATACCGCTCAAATTCGAGTGGTAGGTATCCATCACGTCACTTTGTAACCGGAGCCCTTATTCTTGAAATAGGGGAGCAGCATTCCCTAGAGAAGAGTGTTCCGTCTTTGTTCCTTATATTATCATTTGCATATCATCGAGAAAGATGGAATACTTGTTCTCCTGGGAACGCTGCTCCCCTATTTCAAGAATAATGACCCGGGTTAGAAAACGGTAAGTATGTCATTTCTCTAACCGTTTTGTAACTTGGTTAGTTAAACCGGAGCCACGTGAAAAGAACTATTGGTCAACCAATTATCCAGTAACCAACAGAATTATACATCTGTGAATTTATCTTGCAGATAGTTACCAGCAAGTTTATCTCAACACATGAATAAACCGGGCCTTGGATAGACAAACATTTAAAATGCTGGAGGATGTTTTCTAGCAGGTCTTTTTTCCTATTCCAACAAACATCCCAAGCAGCGTATGACGTCGATTTTAAATAGACTTGCGTCGATTAACCAAAATTCGACGTCGGAAAGAGGTTGCAAAATATGACTTGTTTAGGACGTCAAGTAATGGACGTTTATTTGACCATGAAATGAACCAACAGGCTCAAAATTTACCATGTAAAACCCAAATATGACCCTGCTATTGTAGCAGAAATGTTCTTGTTTCAAGAAGATTATTCCAGAAGAAAGTGGATAGGAGAAATAAAGAACTAAGAATTTGAGAAAAATTAGAAAGAAATAAGAATGATGAAGATAAGGTGGCAGAGATAAAGAGCAGGAGGATCAACAAAATTTACAGGCACACAAATAATTAATAATTATTATTTTTTTTTTAGAATATAACTACATTAGGTACCTTCTATCATATTTATAATTTTTATTATACTCCTGAAGATAGTGAAAACCACTATTAATACAAATTTTAATTACTAGAACGTTCTCTTAATCCTACTAATTGATTTGCAGGAATTTCTCCTACACTTTGCCTCGGCCTGAAGTCTAGTCTAATATTGGAAGAACCATCTGCAACAACATAAACAAAAAGTAAACTAAAATATATTACGTAAATACTCACTTTTATTGCTTTTTTCCATGCTGTGGTACTGTTCATTGTAAACGGCCGAACACAGAGGCGTACTAACAGGCACTACAGTATGGAATTTAGAAAAGTCCACTTCGTACTCTTCCCTTAAATCGTTAAACTTCATTAGGCTATCGAACCTGCAGCCCCACAGAATTTCGTCTGGCATGTAGCTGGACTTTGCCTGAGTCACTTGGCCAGTGTTTTCTTCTGTGCCTTCTATTATTACCATTATTTCAAACCTAATAAAACGATCAATATATTGATTGATTCAAATATAAAGGTGGTACCTACTTTCTTTGACTTAAGTCGCTAGGGCTTAAGTAATACAAAGGAGATTCCTCATCGATAACGTGACACATTACCATGGGCCAATTGAAAAACATATTGTCCAAACAACCATCTACATGGATTTTTAATTCGGTTTGGGTGTGAGGCAACGGTTCGTGTTCCAGGGTTTTAGTGAATTTGACCAGGAAAACTCGAATTCGAGCGTCCACTATATAATGGGGCCTGATATCGCCCACTCTAAACATCAGGCACAATTTGCCATTTCTCAACGAAATTACGGCATTTTTTGAGAACCACAATGTTTGAGAACGCACTCGAGGTTTGGTCATTTTCGAGAACATTACTGCTGCCATAAAACCCTAAATTATTCTCAATGAATTATTAGTTTGTGAATTTAATTGGGTACTTGCTTGCATAATGAAGCCCATGATGCAGTGTAGGGTGTTGACGAAAAGGGCTTCGGCACATTCGTCGGTTGGGGCTTTGATGCCGTAGCCCACAGTGTGCTGAGCTTCCATGCTGAATAGGAAGGCCGAGGAGAAGTCTCTCATGTCGTATATACAAGGCCTAAAAGTAGAACTTTAGTTTGAATTTTCCAAAATTTCTCTAAGATTATAGAAGTTATTGGATTCATTTCTGTGATGTTTTACATTATGGATTAGGAATGTGAAATTCTCAGTGAATCTTATTCTGGTGGGAGGTTTGTTAACTTTCAATTTGGAGTTATAATTCCAGAGATCCGAGATATTTCCGCTAAAGAAAAAGGAGGACATTTTTTCATTTTTCAATTTTTCCGCTGTTCTTTTTTCAAACATTTACTCACAACCTTTGGACATTTATTTCTAAAAACTATCTACTATTTAGTACCCAAATAGCACACAAAGTCTTAAAGACGTCTTTTTTAGGTCTGGTATTACGCCTAAACGTCTGAAGATCAAAAAAATACGTCTAAAAGAAGTTATTTTGAAGATGTCCATGAATTTTAAATTCACACCTTAGAGTTTTGGTATAACCACGCCTAAAAGCTGAATAATGATTTATATATTGAGAAGAGATTCAAAGACGTCTTGGGGAAATCTCGTTGAAGACTTCTTGAGAATGTCTTAGACCTGATGAAGTCTTTAAGCAGAAATCTGAAAGACGTTGCATTTTGTAATATACGACGTCTTTAAGATGTCTTTAAGACGCCTAGGACGTCTACAAAAATTTCTCACAGAATTCGTTTCTCATTCAAGTTACTGGAAACCATCTAAAATGTTACAAGACACTTTGGAACTTTAATAAGCCTTTTGGAAAGTTCAAAACACTTAAAATTCAAATTTCGAAAAGTATTCTGTAGCGCTTCAGAACAATTTGGAAACTTCAGAACCATTTTAAAATTCTCCAAAGTATTCAAAAACCGATTTACAATTTCCAAAAGTATTTTAGAACAATCCAGAAGTTTGAAACCCATTTTAGAACGCTCCAGAACACTCAAACATTTTAGAATCTCCAGAAACATTTTGAAAAGCTTTATAATCATAGGATTCAGATTAAAAGTTACAAAACGTCTTTCAGAAAGCTTTCCAGAGCGAATTTAAATTGCTGTAAGTACTTCATTTAACTTTTAATAAGCATCCAAAACAGTTCAAATCCTAATCAGAATTTCAGGAGCTTTTTGGAACATTTAAGAAACTTTGGAGTTATTTCGGAACAATTAGGATTCCATGTAGAACTGTAAACCTTTTAGAACTCTTTGGAACATTAATACCTTCTTTAATAGAACTCTAAAATATGTCAGAACAATTAAGAAATTACTGAAAAACTTTTACAGTTATCCAGAACTTTTCAAGCTCAGTTAGAACACTTTAAAACTTCAATAAGCCAATAAGAACGTTCCAAAACCCTTTCTAGTAGTATTTTGAAAGGTCTAAGCTCTGGTTTCAGAGATAAAATCCCTCTAAAGAAAAGGGACACTATTTTATTTTTCAATCTTTCAGCTGCTCTTTTTCCAAAGCATAGAGTTTAAATATTCTTGATTATTTGGGGCGGTCCAAAGACGAGATCTCAACACTTTTGAAATATCCTTCTCATAGATTTCTATGTTAAAGAGTAGGTTAATTATTTCCCATTTTTGAGAATTGAGAGAGCAACAGAAAGTCTTTGAAGAATTCAAAAGAAGTCTGCTGGAAAAAGCTGGTTGAGTTGAACATCTATGGACAAGTAGAAATAGAGGAATATTGAGGAGACCTACATTCACGATTAGATGAGAACAGCCAGGAGGATAATATACATATATTTTAAAATGGATATCAAAGCTTATACAATTTGGTTACAGCTCTATTTCAAGTTGGAAATAAATATTATACCTCAAATCTCTCAGCTGGAGAATAAGTAGGTGTTCAAATATTCTAGCTAAAGAAGTAAGGATTGGTTTGCAATTGAAATAAAATCTACAACAGTTTATACAACTAAGCCTCTCTCTACATGAAAATCCTTACTTGAAATTATTCACTTTTTGCATTTCCGGCAAGTGATTAGGCTCGAAATCGCCGTGAGTCAAACAAATAAGCCAGTAGAAAATTGCGAAAATCGTCCAGCTAACAAACAGTACTGCCAGAAAAATGGTAAGGGTGAACGTCCATGAAGAATCCACCAATTGCGAGTACCTCAGTACTATCAGTCTTTGCCGTTTGGATATCGGCTGTGACACATTGCACTGGCCGTTTTTCAATATCATTCGGTGATGGATTTCTTTGCTGGCATCTCTACAAATAACTCAATAGTGGTTTTTGATGTCAAACAACCAGGTACCTATACTCACCGAATAAAGCGCAAATTTCCAGGAAACATTTTTAACAAAGTTATACTGCAAACTGGAGTTTGTTATCTAGTACTCGTTTGAGCACAAAATCCATTGTAAAAAAAAAAGATTAAGTTCAATTGTGATTTATTTGGTGAGCAAACATTATTATTTTTATGTTATAAATTACTGCCAGCAGCCAGATTAATGCTTGAGTTTGATAATAACACACGGTGAATTTGATGAGCCAGGAATAATCAAACTTTGAAGTCAAGAAGTTTCCAATCTTACTTTTGTTGCAATCAAAAAAACTTTTTCCTGATAAGTACTAATAATTCATTGAATCAGTTAAAAATAAATACTGCAAATATAATTATTATTGTTTGACCATCATCCACCAATAAGTTACCATTGATATTCCTGCTAATTTTAAAAACGGTGTGCTGTTTTACTTTCACTCGCGCTTTGACGATGAACATTCGTTAAGAAACAGTCAGTCAGTTAAGGTCAGTCCTGCTGCTAGACTGGCCGTACCACATACCAGACCTATAGTAGTGTGACATGTGCGTTTTGGGCCTTATTTGAATAAGGTTCTCTGCCAGAGTGAATTTTTATTGGATATTGTTTGTACAATAATTAAAAGGTAACTATTTTCAAATATAATAGGTAGTACCGGTTGATGTTATTTTGGGTGTGCGCTATTACATTTTTTTCAATTTATCACTAAGAATGTTTGATATTTTATTTTACATTACAAGTCGCCTTGGTACCTTCAATTTATGTTAATACAATTCAGAAATAATAAAACAAAGGACATAATTCCTGCGATATTGTATCGACCGCACGAAGACATTTTTCCTGACTTTTGACCTCCCCGCATTACTTTATGGTGACCGTGAAAGATTTTTATTGTTTATTTAATTTGTTATCGGCAAAATGCGAAAATAATTAGAATTTAGATATAATTTGTGTTAATGTAGTATTCTCAAAAGCTGGTTAACAGAAACTTGTAAGGAAATGGAAAAAGCTTGTAGAAATTTTAGGATAATTTTGTTGAAATCCTGACTTTCCTCATATGATGTAGGTACTATACCTACTGAAGTTGAGATTTGGTTCCAAAATCCTTTAATTCAAATTGGTTGAAAGTAAACCAATTTAATATGATTTCCAAACTATAATTTCACTAAGAAAAACGTTCCATTTTTGGTTTTGGAATTTTTCTTAAATTGGCCATAATACCATCAAATCTTCAATGATACGTACATTCAATTGAAGTAATTTTATATATTTTACAGGATTTACAGTTCCAGATATTAAATGTTTTTGTCTCAATTTTTTGTTAATTCCCGGCTCTTGAATTTGTCAAAGTGAAGACTGGAATATTGAAACTGAAAAGAAGTAGAGATAAGAACTTTGAGAAATTTCATTATTTTTTTTTCTATTCCAGGCTTTTGACTGTTTTTCGATTCTTTTATGAAAAGGAATTTTATTCCAGGCTTTTAACTGTTCCTGGATTCTGGATTTTTCTTTAAAAAGAAATTTGGATGGAAACAGAAATTCAAGAGCCTGGAATAGTGAAAAATTGAAACTAAAGAGGAAAGAAATAGAGACAAGTGTTTTATGGAAATTTCATCATTTTTCTTTTCTATTGGCTTTTGAAAGTTCCTTGATTCTTTTGTGGAAAGAAATTTCATTCCAGATTTCTATGATTGTTCCTTGATCCTTCTATAAAAAGAAGTTTGGATGGAAACAGAAATTCAAGAGCCTGGAATAGGTGGAAGTTGAACTAAAGAAGAAAAGACAAGACTTTCAAGGAAATTTGATAATTTTTCTTTTCTATTCCAGGCTTTTGACTAGCCCTATTTAGAATTGTAGTTCCAGAAATATAAATTCATAAATGGCACGAGGACAAGATTTTTAACATTTTCAAAGTAACCAACTAAGAATATTCATAAAGTCAGAATTAACAAACTGATACGATAATTGCATGAGATCTTCTTAATAAGGAAAGCTATTTGTTTATGCAAATTGTCCATTAGATATGCTTGGCAAAAGAATTTTACCAGGCTCATAATTAGAAATTAGAAAAAACAATATTTCATCAAGTAACTCTTGGTTCCTTTGTTATTTCCCATGACGTCACTGTCTTCAAATTTTGTATAATAATTATTCCACGAAGACGTTCTCAGACTATTATAATAATGGTTCCACAAACTAGACCTTTTTCTGAGATAGAAATCGTTTTAGATGCAAATTCAAATTAGATTCCGAAAATTCTTACATAATAATAGTCTGTGACTCATTTGAATTTAATTAAAAAAGGCAGCAAATTTCCTTTTCGGTTTACCAAACAATTTAACACGGCGTTAAATTAAATGTACATACAAACACATGTCATTGTGTCATTTAACTCGTTTTGCATTTTAAATTCTTGTAAGGATTACACAAGATTTTCTATACCGCCCTGTAGCTATTGTAAAAATGCTAAACGAAAGTCTAATATGTACGCGAAAATTATCTCTAAAAATAATTCGACTTTGATAGTTTTAAATTGGTTAATAGGAGCAAGGTCAGGTTGGTGAGGAGGTTTTCAACCGGTCTCCCTTGATGCAATCTAAAAACTTAGGTAGTTGTATATATGATATGGCGATTTATTTTCTTATTGAATTTGTATATCTATTAACTTGTGTAAAAATAGCTAATGTTATAGTTTCAGAGATTTCAACATTCCAAGCTTTGGTACATAATTGCTTTGTAATGATATGGGATTTCCGGCACTTTCGAAACTGAGTCTGGAAAATTCTTGGGATATTACATTACATTAATATGTCATATGAATGTTCAGTATGTACAGTAGAATCCTGATTATCCGAGTCGCAATTATCCGAGCTCTGGATTAACCGAGCCAGTCTGAAGACCCAAAAATCCTGATTATCCGAGGTACGCACATCCATACTCCGTATTAACCGAGTTTCTAGAATATACAGGGTGTTTTTTTTTTATATATTGACACCCCACATACAGTCTTTACCTTTACAGGTAGAAGAAAAATGTAAATACAAAAGTTGTACAGTTTGGCTGAATTTTTAGGAACCATGGTCAGAAACAAAATATGAATGTCAGAAATGTAAAATTTTGCATGCTTCCAGCTTTTTTCAAATGGGATGCCCTTCTATATTCTTGAAGAGTACAATTTCCCGATTTCAAAAATATATAGTTTGTCTATATTTGGTTAAGCCGTCTCCTGCATATTTGCTCTTAAAAATTTTAAAAATACTATCAGAGTAACAAAGTACTTCAAATTTTACCTGCAGCTTTCACCTGTACAGGTAGAATGGTTCACAAATTCAGTAGCAGGATAGTATGTTTACAATTTTTGGAGCCGAATATATGAGAAATTGCTCAAGCAAATATAGATCGGGGCATTGTGCTCTTCAAGAATATAGAATGAAATATAGGGTATCACATTTGGAAAAAGCTGGAAGCATTTACAAATAAGTGGATTATTGCGGAATTTATGGGTGGACCTCTGCGGGACGAGCGCAGCGAGTTCCGCAGCCATCTACTCATCAATATACTGTTGAACTGTTCAAATAAGACACTCACCTGAAACATGTACCTACTTTTTAAACTAATGAGAATAACTCATATTTGAGTGAGTCAGGTTAGTATCGTAATTACACAACATATTGATGAATAGATGGCTGCGGAACTGCGCCCATAAGTTCCGCAACAATCCACTCGTTTGTACTTGAATAACTTGTCACATTATATTACTAGTTTGGTAAAGTAACATTACTAATTCCTGTTGAAAGGCAAATTGACAAAAAGTGGATAATCTTACAAATTTTGAGTTTATATAATAAGTTATTGTTCAAGTACAAATAAGTGAATTATTGCGGAACTTATGTGTGGCGCTTGTCCCGCAGCCATCTATTCATCAATATGTTGTGTAATTATGATACTAACTTGACTCACTGAAATGTGAGTTATTCTCATTAGTTTAAAAAGTACACGTTTCAGGTGAGTACCTATCTTATTTGAACAGTTCAACAGTATATTGATGGAGTATATAGCTTAATGAAATATAGATCAGGGCCGGGGCATTGTGTTCTTCAAGAATATAGAATGAAATATAGGGCAACCCATTTGAAAAAAGCTGAAAGCATTACAAATAAGTGAATTATTGCGGAACTTATGGGTGAACCTCTGCGGGACGAGCGTAGCGAGTTCCGCAGCCATCTATTCACCAATATGTTGTTCAAGTACAATACTAACTTGATTCTCTCAGTTGTGAGTTTTTCTCATTTTTCTCATTTAGATGAATGTCTTACTTGAACAGTTCAACAGTATGGTGAGTAGATAACTGCGGAACTCGCTGCGCTCGTCCCGCAGAGGTCCACCCATAAGTTCCGCAGCAATCCACTTATTTGTACTTGAACAATAATTTATTATGTAGTCAGAATTTGTAAGATTATCCACTTTTTGTCAATTTGCCTTTCAACAGAAATTAGTAATGTTACTTTACCAAACTAGTAATATAATGTGACAAGTTATTCAAGTACAAACGAGTGTATTGTTGCGTAACTTATGGGTGGACCTCTGCGGGACGAGCGCAGCGAGTTCCGCAGCCATCTATTCATCAATATGTTGTCTAATTGCGATACTTACCTGACTCACTCAAATGTGAGTTATTCTCATTATTTTAAAAATTACAAGATTCAGGTGTGTCTTATTTAAACAGTTCAACAGTATATTGGTAAGTAGATGGCTGCGGAGCTCGCTGCGCTCGTCCCGCAGAGGTCCACCCATAAGTTCCGCAATAATTCACTTATTTGTAATGCTTTCAGCTTTTTTCAAATGGGATGCTCTATATTTCATTCTATTTTCTTGAAGAACATAATGCCCCGGCCCTGATCTATATTTCATTAAGCAATCTCTCATATATTCGGCTCCAAAAATTGTAAAAATACTCTCCTGCCATTTAAACCCAACTTTAAGTTAACCTAAGTTAACCTAATCAAGCCAATGTTCATCTAAACTGCTGAAAACATGTAAAATTTCACATCTCTGACATTCGATTTTTGATTCTGACCATGGATTCTAAAAATTTAGCCAATACTGTACAACTTTTGTATTTACACCTTTCTTCTAAAGGTAAATGCTGTAGGTGGGGTGTCAATATATAAAAAAACACCCTGTACATACAGGGTGTACCATTTAAAATGAAACAGGCTAAAAATCTGATGCCCCGTTTGTTTTTTAAAAAATCGTTCGTACACGTAATTTGATTTTCAACGGGGGAAGTTTTTTGCAATAATTTTCAGCATATCAACTTCAACCCTTTAGGTGGGGTGAGACCAACCCTTACTAAAGAAAATTGAGCGCTCTTTTGAAACAGGTATCACTCGAACCTCTGTTCCATTTCGAATGGTAAGGGTTTTTAACGATTTAAAAAAAAATAAAGGGACATCAGATATTTAGCCTGTTTCGTTTTAAATGCTATACCCTGTATACATATTATATGTATTCGGATTATCCGAGTTTTCAGTTATTCGAGGTGGGTACCCCCTCACGTTACCTCAGATAACCGGGGTTCTATGTACTTCGATAATACATTTGCTGATGTATAAAAATGTAATAGGTATTCTAGGAATGTTTTAATAGAAAATAGAATATCACTAGCATAAGATTATCTAGGTATTTTGACACAGGAATATTGTAAGGTTTTGATAAAATCTGCCAGGAGTCTAAACCTCTCAATTAGATATAATATCTACATTTTTTTAATGTTCTTGGTATCCATGTCATAATGTCTTTGAGTCTTCGTATCATAGGAGTAGAGTCATTTATAACTATCTTCTTACTTTACCTACTGTAACGTTTGCCAAAACCTACCCGATACTATGACTGAAACGATCTAAAGACACACAAACCTTTGTTCACTTTTAAACCTGGAACCAAATGATACATGATACATAGGTACTTGGCAAATAGGGAAAAATGTCTATATAGTTACGAGATCTACGAATTTCTATACCGCACCTTGTATTAACTACAATTTTGAATTATTCCTTTGAATTTCAATATTTCCAAAAACTAAAATAGAGATTTTTTCGTTCTACAATGCCAGATGAAATAAATAAAATCTTGACCCACATTTTCCAAATGTTTCACATAAAAGAAAAATCACCCAAAGCATAAGCGACACATTTTGCATAAATCCCGCATAAAATAAAATAATTATTTGAAAATAAATTCAAGGTTCCCAATATGTTTTGCACAAAACCGTCAACGTTGCTGCTTCTCCTGACCGTTTACGTTTCCTGCAACAAACTAAACATCTCCTACCAGTGGAGAATCCTGGATTTCGACTTCGGGAGTCCAGAAAAGCGACAAGCGGCCATAAACGACAAAAGTTTTATTCCGGAAAACAACCTCCCTTTGGGATTGGAGGTTTACAAAAACCGGATATTCGTAACTGTGCCCAGATGGAAGTTCGGAGTAGCGGCTTCTTTGGCTTACATCGATAGGACAACAGGTTGATGATTGTTTAATTTTGAATTGCTTAATTTACTATGGTGTTGTAGATCCTATGGAATCTCCAATGTTGAAACCGTATCCTAATTGGGACGCTCACAGGCCCTTAGGAGGAGAACCTCCTGAAATTGTTTCGCCCTTTAGGATAAGGGCTGATCAATGTGGACGATTATGGGTACTTGATACCGGACTAGAGGTAGGTACTAATAACAAAATTATTATTTGATAATAAAATTACCTACTGTAAATAAACATGACACAATAATTTTGTTGGCAAAGCATCAAAATTTATTTAAAATAGTTTTAAACTTTTAGGGTCTGCTGGAAGAGAATCCAAACATTTACAAAAATTCGACAGTGATGATCTACGATTTGCATAATGATGAATTGTTGAGGACCTACGAAATCCCGTACGAACAAACCACCGAGGATTCGTTTTTCGCCAATGTGGCTGTGGAAGATGAAGATTGTGAGGTACGATTTTTTTTTGGGAGTACTCTGCCTGCAGGTACTTTTAGTATAATGATTCGTAGGCCTCTAGTTCCAACTAGAGTTTTAGAACTTTCTCTCTCAATACGGAGTTTGTGAATCCCAAATGATCGATATTTAAAGTCAAAATCTTAATTTCGAATTTCCACATTTTCTTACTAAGATGTATCGTATCGATCAGCCCTCCTCTACTTCAATTTTGTATCACTGAAGTACCTACTCAGTACTCGGTTTTTGGAACAAAATACTTTGTGTGTAGGTACTTGTCTACCACAATTTCTTATCAATTCTGCTTAAATCTCGTTTCTCTCAATTTTTGTCTATTCCCGGCTCTTGAATTTTCGTTTCCGCCTAAATTTCTCTAAATAGAGAAAATTCAAGATCTTAATATACTTGTTTCAACGTGTATGTTGAAGTTTATTGTATCGCGCTACTAAAATATAAACAGTGTTGTTTCCAACATGGAAGATCATGAGTTTTGGGAGGAATTTTTGAATTTACGTAAATTATTGGTTGAAGTGAGCTCATCTCAAGGTGTAGGAGCATTTGAAACATGGATACAAATCTCCAGAAAAACCATGAAAGTGTTTTTCTTTTCGAGTTTTTAGGGCCTGTAAAAAATAAAAAATGATTTTTGCATTTTTTGCCCCGAAAAATTTTGATTATTCGACATTGCCTTACAAAATCGCCCATAACTCAATTAATATTTCAGAAATTCTGATGCCTATTTATATGTTCTGAATCAGAATTAAATACTTCTCAAGATAAAATAAAGAATGAATGAATTATACATCTCACATAGTTTTCGAGATATCGAGCCTCAAAGTTGCAACTTTGTCTCAAATTCTGGAAAACCTTCAAAGCCAATTATCTCGAAAACGAATCCCTAGGGCTCGATGACCCAAATAACTTTTTTTGAAGCCCCAATCAAGATTTACAATTGGACAAAACTTCGTGCAGATAGCTTTCCTGGTTTTCAATATATGGCCCTTTGAAGTATAGGAATTTAATTATGACTTAATTATAATAAATCTCAATCTAGGGCTAAGACTCTGTAACGAATAGAGAGAGAGAGAAAAAGAAGACAATGGGAATCTAGAAACAGGCAGAGTGAACACGAAAATACAAGATCCTAACTCAAATTGCCACAGGGCCGTAGCCAGGGGGGGGGGCATTGGGGGGCGACGCCCTATCTTTCAAATGATCATGCCCTACCTTTAAAACGCAACATGCGTTAAGGTTTCTCTAGGAAATTTAAGAGTAGATAATGAAAAGAACTGAAATCGAGTAGGGAAAACTTCTAAATGTATACAACAATGAGAAAATGGTCGGCCGATTAGATTCTCAGTCACCATATTGCAGCGAAAATTGCTGCTTGGTGTTGAGGTTTTGTCTTAGATGGCGCCTCGATCAAATTTCGACCGTTGTATACAACAATGTTTGACGTTTACACAGAGGAAGTTTTTCGTTTCGAAAGGCTGCAACACTACTACAGAGGATTGCTTATCGGCCTCATTTGTGGAAATTGCTGCCATATTGTGTAACACCATTGACGACATCATCAACTACGTCGACAGCTGTTTGCGCCAGCGGTTGTAGTTTAGAATATACATTTATGATGAAAAATGTTATCATGGGATCATAACCTGTGGTGGAAACACCCTACGACAGGGCGAGAAACGACACGCTGTCTACGTAATCACTGGTTCTTTGGCGTGATGGGGGCTTGAGATTTGATATACACAGGCCTTATGATGATAAGCTATGCTATCCTGTAATAGTGGTAGTAGGTATGGCGAAAACCATTGGAAAAATTAGTGAAAAATCATGTATTTCTGTCACTTTCTTTTATATGCTAGTAGAAGAGGGCACAAATGCACTCAGTGCGCACTGAACTTACCAATGGATTTCACTATTAGTGTGTATTATTCTTGGTGCAAATGGTTCAAGGCGGCGCGAGAATCACCGCCATTTTCTTTACTTTCCAGAGATGTTATTTATTGAAAAATTTGCCTTCGGCGCCATTACCACCAGATTGTTTACATAATTTAAGGGTGGGGGGGAAGTAGTGTATGCCCTATATCAAATTTGCCATGCCCTATCACAAATTTGACTCTAGCTACGGCCCTGAACTGCCATTGGCGCTTCTCTTCAACACCCCCAGATTTCATTGGATTTCCTTGAAGATTCCCCATAGTTTCTTTCCAAGGATTTGCTGAGTTTTCCTAAATTCTTCCTTTGTCTTTTTTTTTTGCACTGGAAACTTGAACTACCTCTACTGACTGGTAGAAAATCTCCATTTGCGGAGATCTTCTTGGAATTCCATGGATGTGCTTAAATTTCCAAGGATATCCTGAATATCCAGGCAAATCTTTGAATCTTCATGGAGATAATTTGGATTCCCACCGGATCTCCATATTTCGAGTTGGTCTCTATGTATTTATTTCTACCGGATCTCCATGTATCTCCACGAATATCCATGGATTTCCACAGATCTCCCTTTAAATATCTAAACGGAGATCCATGAGATCTCTATCCTGTATAGGATAGAAGTCAGAAGATTTCCACAGTGGTTACCTCCTCGGAGGTAGTCATTTGCGATTTTTTAGGACAGAAAATCTTTATTTGTACAAATCTTCTTGTAACTCCATAGATATTCTTGGATCTCTATAGGGATTTACAGGCTCCAGATTCATCTACAAATCTTTGTTTTCTGGAATACCATATTATTCCTAAAACAGACGTGCTGTAGACATAACAACTGAGTTTCTAGAATCCTGGCCGAGTTATCGATGCAATTTCGTAATAATAGAAGAAACCGAGATTCTGGAAGGCAGAGTGAATACATAAATACAATAAGGTCTAAATTCAAATTGCCATTGGCGCTTTTCTTTCAAACCCAAAAATTTCATTGGATTTCCTTGAAGATTCCCCATACTTTTTTTTCAAGGATTTGCCGAGTTTTTCTTAATTCTTTCTTTGTCTTTTTTCCACTGGAAACTTGAAATACCTTTACTGGCTGGTAGAAAATCTCCATTTGCGGAGATCTTCTTGGAATTCCATAGATGTGCTTTAATCTCCAAGGATATCCTGAATATCCATTTGCCTGGATATTGATTGAATCTCCATGGAGATCATTTGGATTTCCACCGGATCTCTATATCTTAAGTGGATCTCTATGTATTTATTTCTACCGGATATTTATGTAGGTATCCCCACGAATATCCATGGGTTTCCACAGATCTCCCTTTAAATATCTGAACGGAGATTCATGATATCTTTATCCTGTATAGGCTAGAAGATTTCCACAGTGGCTACCCCCTCGGAGGTAGTCATTTGCGATTTTTAGGACAGAAAATCTCCATTTGTAGAAATCTTCTTGTAACTCCATAGATATTTTTCGATCTCCAGGGATTTACAGACTCCAGAGTCCAGATTCATTTAGAAGTCTTGTTTTCTGGAATACCATAAAATTCCTAAAATAGACACGTTTAAGATGTAAACAACTGAGTTTCTAGAATTCTGGCTGGTTTGTCGATATGCAAATTCGTAACAGAAAAACTCGAAAGTCTGGAAAGAGACGAGAAGACAATGGGAATCCAGAAAGAGGCAGAATAAATACATAATATATAAATTAACATTGACACGGTTCCTTCGAAATCGGCAGATTTCATTAGATTTCCTTATAAAAATCCCCCCAATTTTCCTCAATTCTTCCTTTCCTTCGACTAAAAACTTGAACTATCCTACTGGCTAGAAGAAAATCCAGGAAATTCATTTGTGGAGATTTTCTGCAGGGATATCGTTGGCACGCAATTAGGTACAGTTTTCCGAATCTACACGACTGGAAGCCGAAATTCTTGGATTTACACGTATTTTTACCGGACATTTACGTATTTCTATGTATTTCCACCGGATGATCTTTGCATCTCCAGGGATATTATACTGGGATCTTCAGGCATATCTTTGGATCTTCATGGAAATTATTTGGATTTACCTGAATCATTGTACCTGAATTCTCTACCTGAGATTCACTTTGCCTGATATTGATACGTGAACTTTCTACCTGGGATTCATCTAGTTTTTTTTCCTAAAGAACCCCAAAAGTGTAGTCTGAAATCTGAATAGACCATAAACCCACACACATCAATACTTACTGATAAATCGCAACGCCGCCTTGCGATCATTCGCGACAGAGACAAGAGTTTTAAGGAAATTTGATGATTTTTCTTTTCTATTCCAGGCTTTTGGCTGTTCCTTGATTCTTTTATGGAAAGATATTTTATTCCAGGCTTTTGATTGTTTCTTGATTCTTTTATAGGAAGACATTTTATTCCAGGCTGTTCCTTCATTCTTTTATGAAAAGAAATTTGGATGGAAACAGGAATTCAAGAGCCTGGAATATTCAAAAGTTGAAACTAAAAGAAAGAGAAATAAAGACAAGAATTTTAAAGAAATTTGATTATTTTTCTTTTTCATTCCAGGCTTTTGACTGTTCCTTGATTCTTTTATGGAAATAAATTTTATTCCAGGATTTTGACTGTTTCTCATTGATTCCTGCCGAAATGAAGAGAATTCAAGAGCCTGGAATAAAATAAACATGAATATCCAGATCCACTTACTTACCATTTTCCTAATTTACCTTACATTTCTCCAATTTTCTATTGAGACATTAATGAATGTCGGTATTCTTTTTCTCGTAAGTAGGTATAATTTGACACAATAAAACTAGCTAAGTATATCATGTCTTAGTAAAATCCCATTAAAAGAGTAATTTTATGGAAACAAACCAAAAATATAGAATAATAGGTATTCTCATTCTTTCCAGAATTCCTTCGCCTACTTTGCCGACCTGGGCGGTCCAGGCCTAGTGGTCTACTCCTGGAAACAAAACCGCAGCTGGAAAGTGAAACACAACTATTTCCACATCAAACCGGTAGCCGGTGACATGACCGTGTCCGGCATCAATTTCCAATGGACCGACGGCCTGTTCGGTCTCGCTTTGAGACCGGAAAAAGACGGCTATAGCACCCTGTTTTTCCACCCTATGACCAGTTTCGACGAGTTTTCTATTAGTACCAGGATATTACGTGACGAAGCTTTGGCAACCAGTAAAGACAGTTTTTACGAGTTTAAGTATTTAGGCGGTCGAGGACCAAAAAGTCAAAGTGGAGCTTCATTTCTGGATAAAAAAACTGGAGTTTTGTTTTACGCTTTAGTGCACTTAAACGCTGTCGCTTGTTGGAGAACCACAAATCCTGCTTATACGATGGAATCGCAAGGGAGAATCTACATGAACAATATTACAATGGTTTTTCCTAATGATGTTAAAGTTGATAATGAAGGGAATCTTTGGGTGTTGTCGGACAGGTTGCCTCAGTTTATGTACACCTCTTTGGATTATAATGATGTGAACTTTAGGATTTTGTCAGCTAAAGTTTCTGAGGCCATAAAAGGCACTGCGTGTGCTTCTAAGTTGGTCAAGGATCCTGATATAATGGAGAAAATCGCTACGAAATTGGGCGACAAGAATTTGATAAGTAAATCAGCAAGTAGTGAGAATAAGGTTTGCAATTTGCTGATTGTTGGTTTGGTTGTGGCCTTTTTGAGGTAGTCACTAGTAGTGTAAATATTTATTTAGTTTTAAGTTGTACTTAGTATTTATATTATGTATATTTATTTTATGTTGTAAGTACTTAAGTCCATGACCAAATAGTTTCTAGTTTGTATATAAAAATGCTTGTAATTTAGGTTGTACTTACATGTTTATTTTACTAATACAATAGGTATAAGAAATAATAAAAATCGCTTTGAAATAGAAACTTTTATTAAAATATTCAATCCAAGAACCAGTATCACAATAATTATTAATACATGTATTTAAATTAAGTCACTTTCCGCTTGACCTCCGCGGTTTGATGCGTTCATATATTTAGTCGATTGGCTCTTTCTAGTTTTTATAATGCATGCCTATTCCAGTCCAGTCAGTAAACAATAATCGCATTATCATTAGTTGTCGATTAAGTTCATTGTGTAAATAAAACGGTGTTTATGGGAATTGCTTTTGAAGGTAAATTTAGTTCTTATAAAAGTACCTGGTAACAAAACACTCTTGAACTATTTTAGTTAATCAGTCAAAGACCTCATATTTTGATAAGTTTTTGTAGAAAAATATTGATAATATATTTGGTAATGTGTCAATAGTTATTGTAGATTTCGGATGTTAACTTGTTTTGTAACAAGTTTTAAAGGTAAACTTTATAATTTCGATGCAAATAGTTGAACAGTGGTGAATCAAGGTAAGAGTTTTTCTGTTTTTCTTTAATTTCAAAGTTTTTCTTCGCAACTCCGCTACTTTCAATTTAAACTATTAATCAATTCGATCTTAACGTTATTAAATTCAGCCAGACAAATTATGTACCTACCTGATAATCTCTTTATGTCGATTTAAATGCAACTTCAATAGTTTCAATCAAAGCAAGTAAGCAGGAGGATTTTTTTAACGACATCAACGCACTTGAAACTTTCCCTAAAATGAGCTCCCAACTTTCCTGCTATCCTCTAAAAATTTCACAAGTTTCCCTGTGCCAGTTTTCCAGAAAAAAATAAATAAATAAGAGGGTGAATTTTCCTAAATTTAGCTAATTTTCAAGAATTTTTCTTGAAGTGGTTTTTCACTGGAAAATTTTGAAACTTTCTTGGAATGAGCTCCTAACTTTCCTCTTTCTCCTCTAAAAATTTCACAATTTTTACTTTGCCAGTTTTTCAGGAAAAAATTAAATATTAGAGGATGAATTTTTCCTAATTTGGCCTTAATTGAAAGAGTTAATTTTCTGGAACTTTTCTTGAAGTGATTTTTCATAGAAAAATTTTGAAATTTTCCTATAATGAGCTTCTCCAGAAAATTTCATAATTTTCCTTCGGACAGTTTTCAAGAAAAAAATTATTATGCAAGAGGCTGCATTAAATTTTAAAAAAACTAGAAAAGTCCTGAAAAATCGGAAAATTAAAGAAAAAAAAGTGGGTTTTGGGACTTTTTGGGATTCCCTCTACAAAATGGCTATCTTGAAATTCCGAAATTTTAACTTTGATTTTCGGCTCTATACCTTCAACACAGAAAAGTCTGAAAATGACGAAAATTGAAACTTCAACTGGCTATAACTTCGTAACGGTAAATCGTAGAGGAAAACTCTTCACAGATAAATTATAGAGTTTGTCGAGATCTACAAAAAAGCTCATCGAGTCTTACCTCTACGACTCACCATTTCCGAGATATTCCACTTGAAAGCTTTAACATCATAGGTAAGCCTTATGATTTTTTTTGGCCAAAAAATCAAAGTCGAAATTTCCCGGATTTTTTTTTACTACGTCATAGAAGAGGTCCAGAAAAATGATCTCACCCACGTTTTCCCTTTAATTTTCCGTTTTTCCAGTTTCCAGTTCTTTTCTTTACCTACCCCAAAAAATGGAAAATCGAAATTTTTCGAATTTTGGAAAAACAAAAATATCAGTGTATGGAGGAGGTCAAAACAAGCAAAGAAGCTATTTGGCATTTTCTCCTAGGAAATTTATTAGGCCAAAAATAAAAAATAAAATCTAAAGGAGGCGCGCTTTTCCAGCTTGACATATGGTCTGATTAAATGGGCCATAACTCTGGAACGCCTATACCGATTTCAATGAATCATGTTTCATTCGATAGAGGATTAAATTGCCTACAAAACGGCTCTACCCAGAATTTCCAAATTTATAATGCGATCCTCACTTTCCTCTTCTTCTCCAGAAAATTTCATTAGTTTCCTTTGCGCAGTTTTCCAGAAAAAAAATAATTTATAAGAGGCTGCATTTAATTAAAAAAAAAAAAACTGGAAAAGTCCTGAAAAATCGGGAAATTGAGGAAAAAAAAATTCATTTCGTGATTTTGAAATTCCGAAATTTTGACTTTGATTTTTGGCCCTATACCATCAACACTGAAAATTATTCAACCGGCCCTAACTCCGTAACGGTAAATCGTAGAGGAAAACTTTTCACAGGCAGATTGTAGAGCTCGTCGAGATCTACAAAAAAGCTTCACGAGTCTTAACTCTACGACCTACCATTTCCGAGATATTCCACTTGGAAGTTTTAAAATCGTTGTGGTAATTTTTTTTTTCGACGAAAAAATCATGTAATTTCCCGGATTTTTTTTCACTACGTCATAGAGGAGGTCCAGAGAAATGTTCTAACCCACTTTTCCCCTCTTAATTTCCCGTTTTTCCAGGAGTTTCCGGTTCTTTTCTATATACCCCAAAAAATAGAAAATCAAAATTTTTTGGAAAACAAAAATTTCAATGTATAGAGGAGGTCAAAACAAGCAGACAAGCTATTTGGCATTTTCTCCTAGGAAATCATCTAAGCCTGGAAAAAGATAAAAAAGAAAATTCATAGGGGGGCTTTTCCACCAGCTTGACATGGTCTGATTAAATGGGCCATAACTTTGGAACGTCTGAACCAATTTGAATGAATCAGGTTTCAGTCGATAGAGGATTAAATTGCCTACAAAATAGTTTTGAAAATTTCAATGGAACTTTGATAGTTTTCTAGCTGCGAATAGTTTCAAAATTGTAAAATGGAGGCAAATAAGCAGGAGAATTTTTCCAAAAAACATTAATAAGACACACTAGTTTTGCTGCCACTGCAACTTTTCTGCAGCTGCTTCAAAATCGAAAAATCAAGGCGAACATTGACGTAAATTTTCCATTCCTCACTTTTTTTCCGATTTTAATTTCTTTATGTTCAAACCTAATTTTTAATCGGTATCGTTAATTATATAAAATTAATCATAAATTGTATAATTACAATTAACTTTTTTTATTTTGTAGAAACGATTCCTGACCCTTGATAAACTTGCCATTTAGTTAGATAGGTACTGATTAGGTACCGGGTCTTAAGTATAAAAATAAAAATACTATCTCAAATATATTAGTTTTTATTGAGAAAGTAATCAATTACTTGAATTTTTTCAACAGTCATCATGGACATGAGCAAAGTGTTCAAATCCAGTTTGGGCATCAAGTATCCAACTTTTAGGGATTATCCTTTGCATTCTGGTAAACAATAGTATGATTCCTTCATTATTATGGCAATTCAAAAATGAGTTTTCAGGTGAAAAATGGCTCGAAGGAAAAAACAACGACGACGGAGCTGAAGGCTTGTGGAGAATCCACGACAACTTGTACGATTTGAATGGATTTATCGAAATTCATCCAGGTGGTAGAGATTGGATCGAATTAACAAAGGGGACTGACATAACTGAAGCTTTTGAAGTCCATCATCTGACAGACAATGCTGAAACTCTACTGCCAAAGTTTTTCATTAAAAAAGCCACAAGCCCTAGAAGTTTCCCTTTTACTTTCCACGAAAAAGACTTTTACAAAACCCTCAAAAGAAGAATTATTGGGAAACTTGAAACTTTACCAAAACACTTAGCAATTAAAAGTCATATTATGACTGATGCATTATTTGCCAGTTATGTTGGCTTGTTTTTATTAGCTGTTTATTTTAAAAGCTTTGTTTTGGGGATTGGGGCAGGATTGTGCTTGGGGCTTGTCACAGTTGCCGCCCACAACTATTTCCATCAAAAGGATAATTTTAGGAGGTTTTATTTTGATTTTTCTTTGATGAGTTCAAAGTAAGAATTCAATTGTATCTACTACTGAGATTGTATTAATGAGTTGTATTGTAGAGAATGGAGAATCAGTCACGTACTGAGCCACCACATGTACACAAACACAATCAGCGACATGGAAATCGCTGCAGTAGAGCCATTTTTGCAATATTTGCCTGGCGAAAAAAATTTGCTGGTTCGGTACGGCTCTTGGCTTTATTCGCCTGCGATTTATGCATTTTTATTTTTCGGATTCTTTGTAAAAACGTACGTAAGACAATGAGAGTTGAAATTTAAAAATAAACTACAATGTTTTCTAGTTTGCTTCAAAACTACCTGAAATCCAAAGTAACAGCTTGGCCAACGTTACTACCATTTACCATTCCAGTTCTAGCTTGGCTTTTGACTGGTCAACCTGTGATGTTTTGCTTTGGAATGTTTCTATGGATAGTGATTATGGGTAGTATTCATTTCGGAATTGTTGGATTGAATGCGGCGCATCATCATCCTGATATTTTCCACGATGGAGATGCTACCAGGTAATTTTTCCTCATCAACCCTAGAATACTAATTCACGTAAGTTTTACGTGTTTTTTTTGTTTGATATGCTGCCATTTCCCAAATATGTGATCCAGTCCGCTTAAATTTCAAGAGTGCTTACCCTCAATACCAGTAGGACCAGGCGTTGCACAAATGCCAGTCGTTTCACACTTCTGTACTTAAAATTTACATGGGTTAGAGCTTTCTTTAACGAAATTTTTTGATTTTATTTGTATTTCGCGGTATTTTTGAGAAAATATGAACGTTAATTTGTTCTGTGTGTTGTTCATTAAAAAAAATAAATAAAAATTATTTCTCAAAATTCCCAAAATATAAGCGGCAGGAATTATTATTTTGTATTCTATGTAAATGAAAGTTTTGAGGAGATTTTTTTTCAATTTTACTTAAACATACTTACCTACATGTATATATGTCGCAGGCTTAATATAAAATCAGTCTTATTATAATACGCTCAGGCTTTTTCAATACGACTAGGCATTTTGTAATACTACCCAAATACTTAAGAATTTCACAATAAGACTAGTAATTTCAGTCGCATTATAATACGCCTGATGCGTGTTAGTCTTATTATCAAAATGAACCTGCGATAGAATCCGTCTAGATGAAATCCGTCGTATTATAATACGACTAATGGCGCACCAGGCGAATTGTATTGGATAAAACTTTCAATGCGCCTTTTGGCCGATATATTGTGCTGAACACTAACTTTCTTATTCTTTATGCTAAATAGACATTAAAATTACCAAGGTTTAAGTATTTTTTCCAAATTTCATCTCTGTAGCATAACTAATAGGAAAGCTAGCCTTCAGCGCAACATGTATCTGTGAACACCCGGTACTTTAACATAAATTTTGAAGAGTTTAAATTACCTATATAAAATACAATTTATAGATTTGATTGAATTATTTATTAGAGCATGATCCGCTTTCATGGCATTTGCTACTACATTTCATATGAGCTTTAAAACATAAACATTTATTGTTATGACACTTACTTTGGCAGTCAGTGATTTCTTCTCTTAAAAACCATCGATTCAACAAGCCGTGTATAGTACCAATTTCATAAACCTCATTCATAATACTTACTACTCACTAGTCACTACAGTTCCTAATATATTTTTGGAGTCCAGTGGTCCACTCCTCTATCTACTTACTTTAGGAACTTCAATTGCAATATCAAGAGTTCTTAATTTTTCAACAATAATTATTATTATTATTCGACTGACACACTGTCAGTCGTATTATAATACGACGAATTTTATTTAGTCAGATTGGAAAATAATCGCTTGCAGGTTCATTTTAACAATAAGACTAGCGAGCGGCAGGCGTATTATAATAAGTCTAAAATTATCAGTCAAATTGCGTGATTCCTAATTATTTGGGTAGTAGTGCAATACGCCTAGTCGTATTAAAAAAGCCTAGGCGTATTATAATAAGACTGATTTCACAATAAGCCTGCGACATATACACAACTAAAAACATACTCACACAATATATACAGACACACCTAGTGAAACTTACAATTCACACAGGCACACAAACACCTAAAAACATGGAACACGTAAATTTTACGTAAAGTTCGTTTCACCAGGGTTCATACTTGACCTTGAAACTCGAAAAAAAAAAGGGTTGTCATAGATTAATTCATATAACACCAATGAACTATAGCTAAAAACTGGAATGTGCACACATTGCCATATCTGCCACAAAAATGAAGCCATGTAAGACAGATGCCACAAAGGGGAATGTTGTTTTTTCCTGTTGCTCGCTGACATATAACGTTTTCGAAAGTTTTGTCATATTTCCCTTCACAGGTTTCATCAATTGGAATACGTGTTGGAAGCAATGTTCGCCATTTAACATAATGAGTGCGACAAAAACAGGTATCCCCTCCGCAGCAGCCGCACTAGGCTTCAAGTTCGTCCTTATGTGTTAGCATTCCAGTTTTTGGTTATAGTTCATTGTATGACACATTCAATTTTTTTGACAAATTGAAATGAATGACTTCGTTTGAGAACCGACGAACGTTTTTGACGTCATTGATTTGTTTCAGTCAATTTTTATTTGTTAAACAAGGAAGGCAAATGCTGGTGGCAAGTACAAACCCTGGTGAAACAAACTTTAGGTAATATCTACCTGTGTTTTTAGAGGGTTAGTATTCTAGGGTTAATTTAGTCACAAACATGGTACCTACATATTGAATACACTGCCCAGACAGCACAAAGGCATTTCAAAGACGTCCCTAAGATGTCCAGAACAACATTCGAGATGTCTTTTAGACGTCTGCTTACATCTTCAAGGTTCCTTGAAGATATCGCAAAGATGTCGTATGTGACAAAACTCAACGTCTTTCAGACGTCTGCTTGAAGAAGACGTCTTCAGGACTAATATTTCATTATTAAGTTTTTCAGTAATTTCTAAATTGTTCTAACAGATTTTTAAGTATTTTAGAGTCCTATAAACTCCAATGTGTTGTAAATTGGTTCAAAAAAGTTTTAAAAGGTTTGTACTAATACAAATACCCCAGATTAATCGACAAAATTTAGCATAAGATTAACTTGAGAGATAATTATTGACAATCTTAAATAACACACAAATACAGATAGACGGTACATTTAGGCAGTGCCAGCGGCTAAGCTCAGCCACTCAGCAGGGATTTTATTCTCGAAACCGAGGAATAGCGTTCTCATGAGAACGATTGCTCTGTCATCGTCAGTGTTATGAAAATATGAATACGTAGTACAAAGATAGAACCTTCGTTCTCATGAGAATGCTGCTCCCCTGTTTCGAGAATAAAGTCCTTGCTGAATGGCTAAACTTAGCCGCTGGCACCGCCTGAATGTACCCATTGTATTACCTAAAACACAAAGGTTTATCAGCACATTCTCCCCCAGCCTTATTTTGAAACATAATCTTTCAAGTACTTTGGAGACTGACGATTTATACCGACTTTGACAGACAGTTTGATAATTTTTCTGTTTAGTATAGTATAGTAAATTTTTGGGCCTCTAATACAAAAAGCTTAGATGACAGATACCCATTACCCCAACATAACAGATCTCTTGAACAAACTGGGACGCTGCCAGTATTTCACCACCTTAGATTTAGCTAGCAGCTTCCACCAGATCCAGATGCATAAAAACGACATCGAAAAAACCGCATTCAGCAAAGAAAACGGGCATTATGAATTCTTGCGCATGCCCTTTGGTTTGAAGAACGCGCCGGCTACATTTCAAAGAGTTATGGATGATATTCTATATCCCAATATATTGAGTAACTTCAACACCCAAAGATTGAACATCCCAATAATAATAGTTATTCATTATACAAGGGAAAAAAGTTCGAAGTTTGCTGATTGCATGTTACGGCGAACTATAGTTGTTACTGAGGATTTGTACCTAAGAAAGTTCGTTTCACCAGGGTTCATACTTGACCTTGAAACTTGAAAAAAAAAGGGCTGTCGTAGATTAATTCATATGACACATTCAATTTTTTTGACAAATTAAAATTAATGACTTCTAGTTTAAGAATCGACGAACGTTTTTGACGTCATTGATTTGTTTCAGTCAATTTTTATTTGTTAAACAAGGAAGGCAAATGCTGGTGGCAAGTACAAACCCTGGTGAATCAAACTTTACCTTATTACTGCGTCATAGCTACAACAAATTCCAAAGCCAAATAATATGGAGGAACCTGCAAAGATGATCAACGATCCAGCGTGAAATGGGTATCTGTCCACTGATCCCATTTAAAGCCGGTCCCAGACACTACGTGTAATCGGCGAATAGGCGAATATTCGTCATTCGCACGAATCTTTGCCTGTTCTTCCACATGGCGAAGGTTTGGTTTGAAAATTGTTCGGCGAAGTTTCCAGGCAGAGGGCCGTCGATTATCAGTGGCGTTTCATGCATGACGTTTCTTTAGTTCAAATGAACAGTGATGAAGAGCAGATTGTTGCCGCCGCTACTCTACTTGTGTCATTTTCAGCAGGGAATTTATTCTCGCAACAGGGGAGCAGCGTTCTCATGAGAACGAAGGTTCTGTCTTCGTCGTCCGTATTCATATTTCCATAACACTCACAATGACAGAGCAATCGTTCTCATAAGAACGCTGTTCCTTGATTTCGAGAATAGAGTCCCTGGTATGTGTGGGTTCCAAATGACAGGTTCATTTTCAAATAATTGTAAAAATTCTAACGGTAATTCATCGGTCCACTCCATTTCTTATTTTAATTAAAAATAACTAAAAATGCAAAAATCAACCTTGCGTCACTGCACACCGCTATCAATTAACAGAACACTATGCATATACCCCCGAAGCGTCTGGGAGCAGTGCGAAGTCACACGTAGTGGACTTTGCCTCGACTTTGCCTTCCTTTGCTTCGTGCCAGTTTATCGACAATTGGCGGGAAAATGACGAAGGACGAATATTCGCCGAAGTTACCTTCCAACACGCTACGCGAATAAGCCCGAATACCGAATATTCGCCGAATACCCGTAGCGTCTGGGACCGGCTTAAGTCTATGTGTCTAGTAGCCTAGTCCTGTCTGTCTAATTAATTCTACTTATGTTTGGATTCCAAGACCCCATAGTAATTTTGAAATTCCGGCACCTATGGGATCAGATTAGGGTGTTCTGTTTCCTATAAGATATTCTAGTGGTTTAATCGTCTTTTTGTTCAACAAACTTTTACTTAAGGTATGGTTTGTTAGGATAGTACGCGACGCACAACTGACAACGTAAACGTCGTCATTGGTTCAGGTATGCCGTACACCCAGCCTACATTCGTTTTCTGACGTCAGAAAACGGGTGTACGTCATACCTGAACCAATGACGACGTTTACGTTGTCAGTTGTGCGTCGCGTACTATTCTAACAAACCGTACCTTAATGGTACTGAACCAATGGCGACGTTTACGTTGTCAGTTGTGCGTCGCGTACTATCCTAATAAACCGTACCTTTAATTTATGACGCACACTGTTTTCTGACGTCAGAAAACGGGTGTACGCTTGGTGTACGTCATACCTGAACCAATGACGACGTTTACGTTGTCAGTTGTGCGTCGCGTACTATCCTAACAAACCGTACCTATAAGGATTTAATCGATAAAATTAAGCTTAAGCATAAGATTAACTTGAAAAATAATTAACAGTAGAGTGTTTTCACAGCTATCAGACCAATACCCACCTCTACCACGTAAAAACCCCTCTCCAGCACAGCCATCATACCACCACCCTCCTCCACTGTAAACCCCCTTCCATAAAGCCAAAGTTTGTAAAGTCCTCCATTAATCTATTTTCAAAAGGCTCCTACCCTGAGATGGCACTTTTTTATATCCCTCCTCTTTCTTGAAAACTGAAGAATATTTAATCAATTCTTCCATTTGTATTTGTCAATTTTGCGGTTGATTCCGGTCAAGTCTCCAAAATTCCAGTTTAAAGGCGCCGCCGATCTAGAGATTTTCCCACGGTATCGAAAAACTTCCCAGGCTCAAGTGCCCCCGGCTATCAGACCAACCCACCTCTACTACGTAAATGGTCCACCAGGCTCACAAGCAAAATGTTATTATTGCAATAAAATTAATCACATGGAGTTTAGAACACTATTGACAAATACAAATGCAGGAATTGTTTAAATATTCTTTAGTTTTCAAGAAAGGCATTAATTGTATTGCAATAATAAACATTTTGCTTGTGAATCTGGTGGACCATTTACATAGTAGAGGTGGGTATTGGTCTGATAGCCGGGGGCACTTGAGCCTGGGAAGTTTTTCGATACCGTGAGAAAATCTCTAGATCGGCGGCGCCTTATTTGAGCTGAAATTTTGGGGATTTGACCCGGGCCAACCGCAAAATTGACGAAGATATTTTTTTTATAAATGGAAGAATTGGTTAAATATTCTCCAAGAAAGTGGAGGGATACAAAAAAGTTTCATCTCAGGGTAGGAGACTTTTGGAAATAGATTAATGGAGGGCTTTACGGAAGGAGGTTTACAGTGGTGGTGGGTAAAAAGTGCCTTCTCAGGGTAGGAGCTTCACGGAAGGGGGGTGGAGATGGATAGTGGTATGATGGCAGTGCTGGAGGGAGATTTTTACGTGGTAGAGGTGGGTATTCTGATAGTTGTGAAAACACTCTACTAATAACTTAATCTTGAATGACACACAAATACACACAGGTAGACATGGTAAAACATAAAGGTGTATCACCACAGGTATACTCAATCATATTTTCTTTTTGGTATTTTCGATTACACATTATACACACATGACAAGAGGCCATCATTGGAATATCCTTTACTTGTATTCGTAGCTGGAGCCATTTTGAAATGTTGACTCAGTAATTATGTGTAATTCACTCGAATCCAATTAAATTATTTAAATATGGTTTTCGTGATCTTGTGAAAGCTTAAGTTACCCTCGGTGTGCGTACCAAACTGGGCAATTATTCTTTTTCAGTTGACTGAATTTCTATCCTTAGAATTTTGTCACGAATTTGAGCTGTGTACTGTGTTGCAAATGAGACTATATTTGTAGTGTTTCTGAAAATTCTATATGTATATTAGGTATATCTAGCTGTGCTAGTAGCACTTAAATTCACTAGCCTCTATGAAATCTCAGTTCAGAACTAAATATTTGTTGGATTTTCGACAAATTTGAAATAAATGTTTACAATGCTGGTTAATTTTTTTCAACAATATAGAACGCAAGCACTTAAATAGTAATGAAACAAACAAAACATGAATTTTCGATATCTTATGAACATCTTCAAAACAATGTCTTTTAGATGTTTTTGGTCTTCAGACGTTCAGATGTAATACAGACCAGAAAAAGACGTCTTAATAAGACTTTGTGTACTGTCTGGATGCACGGGGCTTGATTAACAATAATACATTGAAACTCTGTTTTTGTTTATAGACCAAAATCTGAAATGGATTGGGGCCTATTCCAACTGGACGCCGTCATGGACCGCAAAGACATAACAGGAAGTCACTTTTTAGTTCTAACCAATTTCGGAGATCACGCTTTGCACCATTTATTTCCGACCATCGACCATGGATATCTGGAACATTTGTATCCGGTGTTTTTGGAAACTTGCGCCGAATTCCAAGCTGATTGGAGGCTCGTGTCTCAATTAGACTTGATCAAAGGACAGTTCAAGCAACTAGCCAAAGTTTTACCAAATAGAAATGTACCAAAGTAAACAATAAAAATAACGATATAACTTGTTTATTTGGTGCCTTATATCATACAACATATCCACACATACAAATATTAGTTAATAATAACCTGGACTTTTTACAAAATACATATGGATTTTGGAGAAATCCGGAGACCAAAAGGCTGCTGTTTTTATTAAAATGTTGGAAATACGTGTCTCTTTAATCGCCTCCGCTCTCCGCTTTTCTCTTTTTCATATAAAAACACTATTCAATGAAACAACGGAATCATATTTATAAATCGAAAAAAAAAAAAATAGAGACGAACGAAAAACTAAAATAAAAGAAATAAAAAATACAATTAGTTATATTTTATAAATTACACTCGCGGCTATATAGACGGATGACAAAGGGCCGCGTTTAGAGTTCATTTTTTAAGTAAATAAAAAAAATCTAACACAGCGCACAGTTTTAGTAGTCCATTTCAGGGGCTAGATCAAACCTTGGGGGGAATAGACCGCCGTCTGACATTTGTGGACGCTGTCTTGGCTAGAAAAAGAAAACAAAAATTACTAATTTACCACTATTGTACAGCAAGTTAGTCCAAAAAAAAAAAAAAGGATCTTCTATAGTTACATAATATGGGACTAAAACAACTATAGCCCAGTATCGAAGGGTGTTGTATTACAATATTTACATTTGGATAAACAGCACTATAAGACCAAAGGACAAACGAGTGACAGTTTATCACTTACGCTTTCTGCGTGGTCGCTTTTATTCCAGAACCATTGCTGGTAAACGTGGTTTATTCTGTCCTTGTGGCTTGAATAAGAAATTGCATTTAACACAACAATAATTTTGTATTTGGTGGAGTTGAATGTATTGAGTGTAAGAAATTCGTCAATCATGAGTTTCCTTCTAGGATCAGTGAAATACTCATGACTTTACTTCTCAAGCTTTTAAACAATAATGAGAAAACTCTTATAATCAAAATGGGGGTGCAAAATGAGCTTCTCAAACTACTCTATGTGAACTGTAACTCTAAAATGATTAGAAATCGTAGTTTAAACTGCCATGGCTCAAATTTAACACCAGAACTGTCAGAAATTAGAGTTACTAGTCTAGGAGTGCCTGGAATAGGACTTTCATTCATCTCAGTTGAATTTCAACATAACTAGGGTGCAAAATGATTTTCTCAAACTGCTCTATGTGAACTGTAACTCTAAAATGATTATAAATCGTAGTTTAAACTGCCATAGTTCAAATTTAACACCAGAATCGTCAGAAATTAGAGTTTACTACTCTAGGAGTGTCTAGAATAGGACTTTTATTCATCTCAGTTGAGTTTCAACATAACGAGGGTGCAAAATAAGTTCTCAAACTACTCTATGTGAACTGTAACTCTAAAATGATTAGAAATCATAGTTTAAACTGCCATGGCTCAAATTTAACACCAGAATTGTCAGAAATTAGAGTTACTAATCTAGGAGTGCCTGGAATAGGACTTTCATTCATCTCAGTTGAATTTCAACATAACGAGGGTGCAAAATGATTTTCTCAAACTGCTCTATGTGAACTGTCACTCAAAAATGATTAAAAATCCTAGTTTAAACTACCATAGCTCAAAAACACCAGAATTATCAGAAATTAGAGTTACTAGTCTAGGAGTGCCTGGAATAGGACTTTCATTCATCTCAGTTGAATTTCAACATAACGAGGGTTAAAAATGATTTTCTCAAACTGCTCTATGTGAACTGTAACACTAAAATGATTAGAAATTGTAGTTTAAATTGCCATAGCTCAAATTTAACACCAGAATCGTCAGAAATTAGAGTTTACTACTCTAGGAGTGTCTAGAATAGGACTTTCATTCATCTCAGTTGAATTTCAACATAACGAGGGTTAAAAATGATTTTCTCAAACTGCTCTATGTGAACTGTAACTCTAAAATGATTAAGAATCGTAGTTTAAACTGCCATAATTGTCAGAAATTAGAGTTACTACTCTAGGAGAGCCTGGAATAGGACTTTCATCCATCTCAGTTGAATTTCAACATAACGAGGGTGCAAAATGAGTTTCTAAAACTGCTCCATGTGAACTGTAAGCTATATTTCTTATTGTGAAAAGTTCTGGCCACGTGGAAAAGGCATCTATGATTACCAATACCAAAATAATAATTTCCATTCAATAATTGAAATGTTTCCTAAACATTGTGTGCAATAGGCCAAGGTATAATATTACTTTTCTTGGTGTCTTTGCAGCTTCTGCATACGAAGAGCAATTTTGAACAATTTTTTGTGATGTTATCTTCAATGTTGGGCCAGTAAACACTTCTTGGGATTCTTCTACAACAGGTAACCAGAGCCATAATGCATAATGCATGCTGTATTGATCATCAAATTGTCCAATGTTTCTGTTTCTACAAGTGAAAGCAACCAGAAATCTGATTGAATGTTGGGCGTTTTGAAGGTGAAGACACTACAGCCAATTCCAGCTCTTGTTGAATGAGATATTGTCTGCTGAATATCGCAACAATATTGAACAGTACCGAAGCCAAAGACTAGGACTAACATGAGCTGTTTTTGGCTGATTGAAACATGTCGTATTCAAATCAAACATCCCAATGTCTCCCTCAAGAGTAAAGTTTTTGACCAGTGCATCCTCCCAGTATATACCCAGTGTATACTGATATACTGCTCAGAAACATTAACATTGACACAAAAAAACGATCAACAAAATAAAGAGTTAACCAACGAGTCATGGAAAGAGTTTTGTTGGAGGTGACGTTGCGAGACCGAATTCACAACGAAGAGATACGTAGAAGAACTAAAGTTGCAGATGGTGTTGCGAGAATAACACACCTAAAGTGGAATTGGGCAGGTCACTTCGCAAGAATGACAGATAATAGATGGACGAAAAAGATATTGGAGTGGCGACCTAGAAATGCTGCACATCAAGAAATCAAGATGATATCAAGAGGATATTTACAAATTGGATCCAAGACCGAGCAAGATGGATTAGATTAAGAAAGGCCTATGTCCAGCAATGGAGGAGACAAGGCTGATTTATGATGATGATGATGATATGATGATTAAACAGCACTATTCAATGCTTGAAACAACAATGCTGGAAAATCAACAAGTTTTGGATGAGAACAATAAGGAAATTGAAAACTTTATAGATCGAAAGAGGAAATCCTCTAATACAATGATCCAAAATTCAGCTCCTGGAAGCAAAGGCTGATTTAAAAGAAAATAAGTCAACCGAATTGGGACATTTGGCACAAAATCAGTGTCCTAAAAGCAGCTTATACAAGAAAACCAAATCCTGGGACTCAGCCTGCGACTTCAATTAGCTTCAAATGGAATTCAGAAACTCCTAAACAGAAATCCTCAGCATATGACTAATGAGTCATCAATCAATTGAAGAATTAACATTGATTGGATGTGGAATTGAGTTTTTGTTTGAATAGTTGCTAGAATAATATTGAAAAATTCTTACCGCTGGGCTCTGTCCTCTGGCGCTGGATCCAGCACGTCCCTTCGCGCGGAATTTAGCGATAGCTTGTTCAGCCAAATCGGCACGTTCCTCGGCCTCCTCCAATTCTTGTTGCGCCTTGCGGAATTTCGCCAAATTGAGCGCGGCGATTTCTTCGGCCTCCTCGATCTGTCTCTTGTAGGTCTTGATCTTCTGTTGCAATTTGTCGACCAAGTCTTGCATACGTTCGTGGTTCTTCCTGTCCTCTTCCGCTTGGAAGCTCAACTCCTTGATGCGACGCTCGGATTTCCTGAGGTTCTTTTGGGCGTCGGCGTGTCTCCTCTGTTCACCATCCAGCTCGTTTTCGAGTTCTCTGACTCTCTGTTCAAGTTTGGCAATTGCCTTTTTGCCTCCTTTAAGCGCATTGGCTTCAGCTTCATCAAGACGTACTTGCAAGTCCTTGATTTGAGTTTCAAGGGCCTTGCGGAGTTTCTCTTGAGTTTGGGCGTGGTCTTGTTCGGCACGGAGTTCGTCGGCGAGACGAGCGGCGTCTACCATGGCCTTCTTGGCCTTCTCTTCAGAGTTCTTGGCTTCGTTCAAGAGCTCGTCAAGATCGGAATGCAAAGTCTGGAGTTCGGTCTCCAATTTCCTCTTGGCAGCGGACATGGAAGCGTTTTGGGCGGCGAGGTCGTTAAGTTGTTCGTGGGCGTCTCCCAATTCTTGTTCGGCTTGACGACGAGCGCGGTCAGCTTGTTCCAAAAGGGTGCGCGACTCTTCCAATTCGTTTTGGAGGGCGTTGGCGCGACGTTCGGAAATGCCCAATTGTTCGCGGGCTTCGTCACGAGCGCGTTGTTCTTCTTCCAATGCTTGTTGGGTGTCCTTGAGTTGTTGTTGGTAGCGTTTGATGGTCTTTTGGGCCTCGGCGTTAGCCTATACACATACAAAAAAAAAAAAAAACAATTAGTTATACATATTATGTAAAAACACAAAATGAACATGTCTTCAGCATCCAGTATTTTTGTACCTTATACCTTTACCATATAACTAGTAAAGATAGAGTTGGAAATGTTGTCATCGCAGGTTGTCATTTAGTATAGTCAGTTTGTCATAATTGTTGGAAATATAGAGTTGATTTGAAAAGTAAAGCATTATTACATACTTATTAAAATTTTGGCCCGTCATACTTTATCCACTAGAAAACAGCAAGTAAGTGAATCTATAGACCAGTACTTCGATTATATCAAATCCATCATCAACTTATGTTCAACAATTGAATGAACGAAAGGATACAACACTTGCTGTAATTACTTCAAAATTTTATTTTTGTGGGAGAAATAGACACTCTAGAAATAGTTGTCCAGCAAGAGCAAGAGAGATGCAATTTCTGTGGAAAGATTGGTCATTTCACACAAGTATGTAGATCAAAAACCCTTTAAATCGACAATCGAATCTACCCAGCACTGCTCCAAAAGGATCAGGACATACTAATGTCACACCCAAGCATGCATTGTTTGAGGCTTCATATCAGAAGTCTGGCAAAAGGCGACCGTGAAGGCGACAGTTGCCTATCTGCAAAGGATTGGCAGGTGCCTAGACACGACGCGTCATACAGACCTATCGTCTATCCTTGTTCCTGTACAAAACGCTGGAAAAAATTGTGGATAGATACATCAGAGACCGCATACTGACACTCTATTCTCTAAGGGCCAAATTATGGACTAACTGGTAAACGTCTAGTTATTACCTAGCAGGTACTTTCCATGCACTAGAGAATAGAAAGTATCTGCGAGGTAACATCCAGACACTTAACAGCGGGCTGTTCACCCCCCTAACCCAAATTTCGGTGCATGAGCATCAGCACCCACGAGGTTCTTTGAAACCCAGCGCCCCTGGAAGGAGTTGCCCACAGGGAGGCGTTTTATCGCCCTTATATTGGGCGGTATGGTGTGGCCAGTATCTAATAAGAAGGACGGGTCTAGAGAACGCATACTCTAAGCAGGGGCGCCGATTACGTAGGTGCTCGGGGGCTCGAGCACCCACGAGCATAGACATAAAAACTGATAATCCTCTCTAGTTCTTGGAAAACTGGTTAATTTTGTACTTCGGGTTCTTGAAATCTGGTTAACCAAATGTCAAAATAGTTACCGGCCATCTGATGTCGGTTCTGTTGGTTTTATCAAGGTTTTATCAAGGTTTTATCCAATGAACTACAGCTAAAAACTGGAATGCTAACACATAAGGACGAACGTGAAGCCTAGTGCAGCTGCTGCGGAGGGGATACCTGTTTTTGTCGCACTCATTATGTTAAATGGCGAAAATTGCTTCCCACACGTATTCCAATCAATGAAACCTGTGAAGGGAAATATGACAAAACTTTCGAAAACGTCATATGACAGCGAGCAACAGAAAAAAACAACATTCCCCCTTGTGGCATCTGTCTTTCATGGCTTCATTTTTTTGGCAGATATGGCACTGAGTGCGCATTCCAGTTTTTAGCTATAATTCATTGGTTCCAACAGACATGAAAACCTTTCTAGAACGGTAATTTCCAGTCGATCAATCCATTTGTCAATTAGGAAAAACGTTTAACTTATTGAAAAATAGGTGGGCAACTGGAAATTATTGGTTCTGGGACGGTTCTCATGTCTGTTGGAACAGAGCTAATGGTTTACGTTTGGTTATATTTGGACCATAGCCTTATATAGGTTATGTTCCGATATCAACTCTGTCAGTCCTGAATTTACTCGACGCCGTTTCAATATTATTTTCAGTACACTGGATTCAGTCGATTCAGTACTGAATGATTATACAAGAGTACGCTGTTGAAATTCGAACGGCAAATGACATTAAAATCAGCACAGTAAATCCAGTACTGGCAGTTGATATCGGAACATGGTGGTACTTTGTTTAGAAGAAGAAGAAGATGAAGAAAATCAGAAATCTTTTATGGAGAACAGCGTAAAACGCAGATTTTCGATACATGCTGCTTGGAAAAGAATATCTGCAGGAGAGTTTTCCACACTTTACAGTAGAGTGTTTTCACAGCTATCAGACCAATACCCACTTCTACCACGTAAAAACCCGCCTCCAGCACAGCCATCATACCACTACCCATGTCCACTATACCCCCTTCCGTGAAGCTCCTACCCTGAGGAGGCACTTTTTACCCACCTGCACTGTAAACCCTCTTCTGTAAAGCCCTCCATTAATCTATTTTCAAAAGGCTCCTACCCTGAGATGGCATTTTCATTTTATTATATCCCTTCACTTTCTTGAAAACTAAAGAATATTTAACCAATTCTTCCATTTGTATTCGTCAATTTTGGGGTTGGCCCGAATCAAATCCCCAAAATTTCAGATCAAAAGCGCCGCCGATCTAGAGATTTTCCCACGGTATCGAAAAACTTCCCAGGCTCAAGTGCCCCCGGCTATCAGACCAATACCCACCAGTGGTTCACCAGATTCACAAGTAAAATGTTATTATTGCAATAAAATTAATCTCATGGAGTTTAGAACACTATTGACGAATACAAATGCAGGAATTGTTGAAATATTATTTAGCTTTCAAGAAAGTGAAAAGATATGGAAAGAGGTACCTCTTCAGAGTAGAAGCTTTTTGCGGTAGTGGAGGTGGGTATTGCTCTGATAGCTGTGAGGTGAGTATTGGTGCATTAATTTTATTGCAATAATAAATATTTTGCTTGTGAATCTGCTAGTCTGATAGCTATGGCACTTGAGCCTAGGAAGTTTTTCGATAACGTGTGAAAATCTCTAGATCGGCGGCGCCTTTGATCTGAAATTTTGGGACTTTAACTCGGGCCAATTTAGTTTTCAAGAAAGTGGAGGGATATAAAAAAGTGCCATCTCAGGGTAGGAGCCTTTTGAAAATAGATTAATGGAGGGCTTTACGGAAGAGGGTTTTGCAGTGGAGGTGGGTAAAAAGTGCCTCCTCAGGGTAGGAGCTTCACGGAAGGGGGTTTACAGTGGAGGTGGGTAGTGGTATGATGGCTATGCTGGAGGGGGGCTTTTACGTAGTAGAAGTGGGTATTGTTCTGATAGCTGTGAAAACACTCTAATCTTTACCCTTATAGCCGTCCTTTTTTTCCAATTTTAGCAGACACCGCAAAAAACTTACGCAAGCATCAAGCAACACTAATTCCCGCAGCTGAAAAACGAATATGGAAAGGTGTGAACTACTTCCCTTCTTAGACACTCGTCCGAATGTAAATTAAAGAATGCTGGTAAACGTTTTTGGGCGTGGCATCTGGAGAAGCTTTTTCGCCACCGGCGGGCTGTTCAACCCCCTCATAAATGTCGGTGCATGAACCACAGCACCCACGAGGTTTTCTGCAACCCGGCGCCCCTGACTCTAAGGATTGATAGGAGATATACCACAATAAATCTGATAAGATTACGGTGATAGAGGACGCCTCTGCGCCATCTCTATTCAAACAAATCTACATGAAAAGGTTCCATTTACAGTGGAAACAAATTATTCTGATTTTGCTATCGGTACTCAACTGAAACAAAATGGTAGACCAGTCGCATCTCCCCCTGGTGCTAAATTACAAGATTTTAATGAGTTAACTATTCCCAAAGAAAACCTTACATCAGTCAGTTCAGGACGTTTATCATCTTCGTTTCCTATAAATAATTCTGATCTTTCCCTTACCCAAAATTCTGAACAATTTCACAATGAAAGTCCTCCAGCTTTATCTACAGTGAGTGAAACCTACTGAATCTGGTCGTGTTATAGTAAAGAGAAAATATACCACCTTCATATACCTGTTATGTTGTATGTCATGTTGTCAGTTATTGTCAGAATAATCTGTACTAAACACAAAAAAATCATTACCTTGTTGGCATGGTCCAAAGCAATTTCAAGTTCGTTGATGTCAGCTTCCAACTTCTTCTTCATGCGAAGAGCCTCAGCCTTACCCTTGGCTTCGGCTTCCAAAGAGGCTTGCATAGAATCGAGGGCACGTTGGTGGTTCTTTCTGGTGTTTTCGAATTCCTCTTCCTTCTCCTGAATGCGTCTGTCGATTTCTTGACGCACTTGCGACAATTCCAATTGGCTTCTGAGCACTTTGTTTTCCTCTTGTTCCAAAGCGGCTTCGGCTTCCTCGAGGGCGGCTTGGAGTTCGTCCTTTTCGGCTTCCAAACGTTTCCTGGCCTTTTCGATTTCGTGAATGTTGCGACCGCCTTCGCCGATTTGGTCCAAAAGGTCTTTGACTTCGTCGGCGAGGTTCTTGTTTTCGCGACGTACGGCTTCCAATTGTTCCTGGCCTTCTTCGTAAGCTCCCTTGAGTCTGAAAAGCTCGGTGGAGTAGTTGCGGCATTCCTTTTGGCTGGCGTCGAGTTCGGCAGCCAAATCGTCAACCTTGAGTTTCCATTCGCCGATGATTTTGTCGAAAGCTTTTTGTTTCTTTTCGGCAGCGTTGGCGATTGCGTTGGCACGGTCGACTTCCAATTGTAAGTCTTCGACTTCAGTTGCAAGACGTTGTTTGGTCTTTTCAAGTGCGACAACTTTTTGGTTGAGGGATTCAATGGTTTCTTCGGCTTCAGCAAGACGGGCTTGGAGCTTCCTCTTGGCTTCTTCGAGTTCTTCAGAACGAGCGACACCTTCAGATTCGTATTTCTGGCGCCACAATTGAGCTTCAGCGTTAGCTTTGCTGAGTTGACGTTGGATGTCGGCCTTGGCTTCAGCTTCTTCTTCGACTTGTTCGCGGATGTTGTCCAAATCGTGTTCCAAGTTGCGGAATTTGCCCAAAAGGGTGGCACGTTCGCGGCTTTCCTCGTCGGCTAACCTCTTGGTGTCTTCCAATTGAGTGGTGAGTGATACTTTGATCTTGCTGAGTTGAGACACTTGAGATTCGGCCTCTTCCAATTGTCTGAGGAGGTCGGAGTTTTCGATGGACAACTTCTTTTTGGCGGCGTCGAAGTCGTTAAGGGTACGGTTAGTTTCGTCGAGTTTGCCTTGAGTGTCGTTGAGTTGTTGTTGCAATTGTTTGGATACTTTTTCGATGGCAGCCTATAAATATTTAAAATGTTAAACATTTGTATATTTGATGGACTAAGTATAAGCACATAGAATATTGAAGCTTGTTATAAATTAGCTCGTTGCAATTTTTGGTTAAACAAATAAAACGACACTGGCTGGATTGGTTGAGAAATACAAAAAGCCTCAAAAAAGAGCAGTTCTTCTTGGGTTATATGCTTAAAGAACACCTATTATAGGTTCAATCAAAATAAGCGGCTTTTGGTCCTCAAAGTACCTTTTCGTTAGCCAAGTGGTCGACTGATGCACGGAGGTCGTTAAGTTCACCAAAGTATTGAGCCTTTTCTTTCTCAGCCCTGGATGACAAGACAGAAAAAACAACATTTAAAAAAGGAGACAAACACTTTAGGACCTCTAAACAATATACTTGTATCTATGATACACAACGAAATATATACAAAGTTGGGTGCAGGTGTGACACAAAAGAAAACCACAATAATAAGAGGTTTTCAATGGGTACCTTCTCGCGTCCAACTTGGTCCACGGCTCCGCGAGTTTGCTGGAGCTCTTGGTAAATACTGGCGCGATCTCTTTCAGCCCTAAATTTACATTTTTGAATAAAATAATTGTTTGTTGAAGGGGGATAAACACCTGAAATGGTTATTTACATTCCAAGTGCATGATTGTTGAGCAATGCAAGCTACTGGATATATTTTGAATAACTGCACTTGTAATGTAAAAATTTATGGAATCACACTTTTCAAAATAATCCATGGCATTGGTACATTTCACCTTGCATGAAATGAGGTAGTTCTAATTTTGACTTGTGGATGAATTTTCTAGATTCCCATTTGGCTTTATTGCTTGTCCTGACATGTGCTCATCAACTATTATAAATTGCTTAACTCAACTTTTTTCTGTTTTTGGGACATCAGCGTACCTGCATAGTGATAGGATAGAGGGACATCATTTATGTGTCTGAAGAACTGAAAACATTCTTTACACGACATGGGATTGCAACTAGTCGCATTACTCCTTATAACCCGCAAGGAAACGGGCAGTATGAACGGTATTATATGGAAAACCATTGAGTTAGCTCTAAAATAAAAAAACATGGATTTAAGACATTGGCAGCAGGTATTGGTCGACTCTTTGCATTCAATATAAGGTCTTTGTTATGTACAGCAACAAATTGTTCACTGTTCACCGCATGAAAGAATGTTCTGTCATCCTCGAAGATCTACAAATGGTTCTTCAATTCCAACCTGGTTGAGTATTCCTGGTCCAGTCTTCCTAAAAAAGCATGTAAGACAAAGCAAGTATGAACCGATCGTGGAAGAAGTGCAACTCCTAAAAGCTTACTCTGATTATGCTCATATCAGATTAGCTAATGGTAAAGAAACAACTGTGTCAACACGCCACCTTGCGCCAAGAGGACATTTTGATCTGCATCAAGAAACGTCGAATGAAGATATGAATGTAGAATGCAGAACATACAGGGTGTCCTTAGATAAACTGATACATTTTACAGGTGAACATCTCGAAAACGAGAAAAGATAACGGGATGCGGTTTGTGCTGGAAGAACAAGGATTTTTTAAAGTTTTTTTTCATGTTATTAACGTATCCTGAAATTTGGTTTTACAGACATTCGATTTTTTGAAATAATTACATACTGCCTTATTCTTGATGAAACACCCGGTATATTTTATCATCGTCAAAAAGCGTGACTTTTCTACTTAATAGAAATGTATAACTTTTTTCCATTATCTTTAAATTACATCTCAAAAATTGCACTTTGTTAAAAAGGGTACTATCAATTGGCTAAAAAAAAAGAAATACTTCAAATAATTAGAGGGACTTCAAACTTCCAGGATTTATTGAGTAATGTCTTTTTATCAAACAGAAAAAACCGTGAATGGATATCAAACTCAGAAATGGTATTATGATTTTTTTTCTCATTTAAATGCAAAAAAATCTTTAAATATTTCTATCAAACCACCTTTGGAAACTTCTGAAAAATACTTCAAGTAATCAACGGGACTTTAAACTTTCAGGATTTATTGAGTAGTGTATTTTTATCAAACAGAACAAACCGCGAATGGATATCAAGCTCAGAAATGGAATTATGAATTTTTTCTCATTTAAATGCAAAAAATCTTCAAATATTTTTATCAAATTACTTTTAGAAGCTTCTGAAAAATACTTCAAGCAATCAAAGGGACTTCAAGCTTTCAGGATTTATTGAGTAGTGTCTTTTTATCAAACAGAACAAACCGCGAATGGATATCAAGCTCAGAAATGGAATTATGATTTTTTTCTCATTTATTTAAATGCAAAAAATCTTTAAATATTTCTATCAAACCATCTTTGGAAGCTTCTGAAAAATACGTTAAGCAATCAAAGGGACTTCAAACTTTCAGGATTTATTAAGTAGTGTCTTTTTATCAAACAGAAAAAACCGCGTATGGATATCAAACTCAGAAATGGAATTATGAATTTTTTCTCATTTAAATGCAAAAAATCTTTAAATATTTCTATCAAATTACTTTTAGAAGCTTCTGAAAAATACTTCAAGCAATCAAAGGGACTTCAAGCTTTCAGGATATATTGAGTAGTGTCTTTTTATCAAACAAAACAAACCGCGAATGGATATCAAGCTCAGAAATGGAATTATGAATTTTTTCTCATTTAAATGCAAAAAATCTTCAAATATTTCTATCAAATTACTTTTAGAAGCTTCTGAAAAATACTTCAAGCAATGAAAGGAACTTCAAGCTTTCAGGATATATTGAGTAGTGTCTTTTTATCAAACAAAACAAACCGCGAATGGATATCAAGCTCAGAAATGGAATTATGAATTTTTTCTCATTTAAATGCAAAAAATCTTCAAATATTTCTATCAAATTACTTTTAGAAGCTTCTGAAAAATACTTCAAGCAATGAAAGGAACTTCAAGCTTTCAGGATATATTGAGTAGTGTCTTTTTATCAAACAAAACAAACCGCGAATGGATATCAAGCTCAGAAATGGAATTATGAATTTTTTCTCATTTAAATGCAAAAAATCTTCAAATATTTCTATCAAATTACTTTTAGAAGCTTCTGAAAAATACTTCAAGCAATGAAAGGAACTTCAAGCTTTCAGGATTTATTGAGTAGTGTCTTTTTATCAAACAGAAAAAGTGCATCCAAGTGCCACCACTGCTCGGTAGCCTTCCGGATCATTGTTCTGAGGTAAAAAACTCGGATTTGCCATAGTCATAACCACCTCATCAGATAGGTACAACATATCAAAAAATCAGAACTACCTCATTTCATGCAAGACAACACCCGTTTTTTAGTAAGATTTCCATGAACTAAAAACCAAAAAGTCATTTCTAAATAACGCTATTACCAACTGGCAAAAAAGACCTGAAATCAACATTTACATTTTGTTGCGACTATAACGCTTTCTTGATTGTAGTTGTATGAAGGTATAAAATACCTACTATCCTTCTAAGTAATGTACAAAAGTTACAACAAAAATTCTTACTTGGCCTTAAGTTTGTTAAGTTGGTCGATTTGTTCGCCCATTTCCGAAACGGCATCGTTGTGCTTCTTGCGCAAATTGGCCAAAGTACCTTCGTGTTGGATGTTGGACTCTTCCAAGTCACGACGAAGCTTGGCGAGCTCAGCTTCACGTTTCTTGTTGAGCTCAATTTGAGCTGAAGTGGCACCGCCGGCTTCTTCGAGACGTTCGCCCAATTCTTCAAGCTCGCGAGCCAAATCTGCGCGTTGTTTTTCGGCTTTGGCACGCGCTTGACGTTCGGCTTCGACTTCTTCTTCGAGTTCTAAGTATAAGATCAAACAATTAACTTCTATTGCATCTTCTAACTAACAACTAATTACCTTCAATTCTTGCTTGTAATTCCTTGATTTGTTTCTGGGTCTTTCCAACAACAGATTGTTCGTCTTCCAATTTAGCGGTCAATGATGAGATTTCCTTGTCTTTGCGTTGAATGGTTTGTTCGAGTTCCTTTTTGTTTCTTTCCAAATCTGATACAGCTTCTTGGGTTAGTTTCAAGTCACCTTCTACTTTCCTCTTGGACTTTTCAACATCACCGCGTAGTTTCTTTTCACGTTCCAAAGAGTCTTCAAGTTCGTCCAAAGTTTGTTCCAATTTAGCTTTGACTTTGTTCAAGTGATTGACTTTGTCTTCGGCTGCTTGGAGTTCTTCGGATATTTTTTGGTTGTTTTCGCCGCTCATTTTCTTTTCTTTGTTCAATTTGTTGATGAGCTCGTCTTGGTGGGCGATTTCGTCGTTCAAGTTTCTGATTTGGTGATCTTTGGTGGCCTTGTCTTGTTCGGATTTTTGGAGGTTGAGTTCCAAGTCTTCGACGTCTTTTTTGTAACCGCCAATTTCCTGTTCGAGTTTCTTTTTTTGTTGCATGAGCTGGTTGCGGGCATCTTCCTCTTGACTCAAACGGTCTTGAGTTTCCTATATATTTTTCCAAAATTAATTTTGTTTTGGCTTGAGGCCAATAAAATGTTTTCATGTAATTTTAATGATTTCTAATAAGCGACACGGTACTTTGAAACGTAGCCAAAAAAATTAGATGCTGTATCTAATCAAAGACACTATTGACAGACGTCCAAGCTTGTTTATCCAAAAGTATCATGTATCCAGAAATTAAAAATCGTTTCAATTATAAACACAAGTGAGATTGAAAAATATACAAATTCTTGTACTAAACTTATTTATAGGACACACTTACCTGAAGTTGAGATTCAAGATCGTTCTTTTGGGCCTGCAATTTGTTGGCTCTCTCTTGGACTTCGGACAAGGATCCCTTTTCTCCTTCGAGGGAGTTCAACAATTCGGTCTTTTCGGCTAAAATTTTAGCGTACAATCCTTCCAATTCCTTTTTGGCTTTGGCTTCGCGTTCGTAGGCCTCAACAGCTTTGGCAGCTTTCTCTTCCAATTTCTGCAACAACGATTCTTTTTCTAGAACTTGTCGTTCGAGGGCTACAATTTTTGGATCGATCTCAGGTGAGGAACGGGAGGATTTTTTTGGAGATGGAGGAGGAGAAGGTTCTTTGATTGTTTCTGGTGGGGCTTCAATTTCAGGCTCAACAATTTGAGAAGGCTGAGTTTGAGTTTCCTCAACAACTTCAGCATTCTCTATAGTTTCATCGGCAATTGGTTTAGACTTTTTAGACTTTTTATGAGGTTTAGTTTCTTGGGTTAATTGTAGTTCTTGTTCGTTGGTTGAAGCCATCGTATCGTAAATAGATTTTGTCACGAAAGAGGTGAATACAGTACGCGAAGCGATCGAAGACTGAACTGGATCGGGTCCGTCTTATGGAAAGTGATCCATTACGCACACCCACGCCTTCAGATGAAAGATTATAAAAATATGCGGCGATATGACCAACATAGTTGACAGAAATAGAAGGTAGGAGCCATCAATTTTAAATTTAGAAATTTTAGGTTTTAATGTGGGACAGGTGATTTAATCGGGAACGTAAAAAATTATGTTATGAGTAGGTATATCATAAAAATTTTCGATATTTCGATAGAGCGAGGACGACTATATTTATAGAAACGTTGGTGTAGACATTTACACCGATATTAATCTTGAATTAGTTTATGAAATATGTTTTTGAGAAGTGCGAGTCATACAAATTGGAAGATTGATTTTACATAGTAAATCACAATATATCATGCATTATTTTTGGAATAATTATGACATCTTTTTCAAGGAATGTATAGGAAAAGCAGTATGTATATGCAAATCTTGTAAAAATGATACATAATATAATGATGAAAGATGAGAGACAAGAAATAATAATGAAGGAAATAAAAATAAATTTGCAAACTATATGGAAAATATAGAAAGAAAGAGGATAGTGAAACAAGAAATAATCAGTCTGGATACAAACAGGCCTAAGAGAGGTATTATTCCATAAATCCGAAGAAAATAAACGGAGACAAAGGTAAAAAAATCAGTAAATGTATACAATAATGAAAAGTAAAGAAGGCATTAAAAACTCTCTATCAAAATCCCGTTAACAGAAATGCAGATTACATAATTTTGGTTCAAACATCAAATTAGTGGGACATAAAAAAAGCCGATTGTAGATGATGAACGAAAGAAAACAAGTATACAGGGTGTCCCAGGGAAAACAGCCCAGCAAGGTTTACGGCTTTAGACGAAATAAAGATTTGAAAAAACCCTCGTACCCGTAAAATTTTGTTTTTAGGGGGATTATTGGTATTTTCACCCCTAAGCCGGGGTGATAGGTACCTACCCCCAAAATTTCAAATGATGAGGGGGTCGAGTGATACGTCATTCGATAGCTATTTTCATTGAGATTATATCCCCGAAGTTTTAAGCTACTACTATTTACCCTGCCGAAATGGCGGCTTTTCGAAATTAGGAAAAATCAATGGAAAAATTCTGTATGGTTTTTACCTGTTACCTACGCATAGGTGTGACAGGTAAAAACTAAATAGATCAGTGGTTCTCAATCTTTTGTAGAGTGAAGAACCCTGGAGCGCACTTTTTTTTTCACAAAAAGTTTATATCCTGGGCGAAGGGAGGGCTATAACTAATTTGTTGAAGGATTGAAAAATACTTTAGTCCTGACATATTATGACATATACACTATTTTATGTATTTTAGAGGGATTAAGTACCCTTTTGATTCCTGTTCCATTTAATCCCTAGGAAATAAGAAGAAATTCATAAAAAAGCGACCTCAAATACAGATAAGGAGAAAGGGGAGTACTAAGAATATTCTTTTTATGTTCATGACACAATTTCATTGTTGGGTGATCCCACAATTGTGTTTTTTTAAATATTTTATTGACTGCTTGCGGAACCCCAATCGCCCCTTTGCGGAACCCAGTTTGAGAATCACTGGTTTATATTATCGAAAAAAGCATTTATCCTAACTTTCACATGCCGTCATTTCGGCAAGGTAAATAGTAGCAACTTAAAACTTCGGAGATATAATTTTAATGAAAATAGCTATCGAATGATGTGTCACTCGACCCCCCTCTCCATTTGAAATTTTGGGGGTGCCTATCGCCGCTCGCCCCGGTTTAGGGGTTGACAAGTGAGGGGTGAAAATACCAATGAAATGTCCCCCCCTGAAAACAAAATTTCACGGATCCGAGGGCTTTTTTTAAATCTTTTCGTCCAAAGCCGTAAACCTTGTTGGACTGTTTTCCCTGGGACACCCGCTGTATATTAAGATCGTGGGAAATTTGTGAATTTCTCAAGGAGAATGTGGTTCTAGCAGAATTATGGTTTGGGAATAAACCTAAACCAAAAAAAACTCAGCATTTTTGGTTTGATTGTATATCTGTAGCAGAATAATGGAAAATTCAATAGTCATATGAAAGAATCTCTCAAGCTGCTCTTAAAGAAGCTGATGGACGTAAAAAGACATGGGTACCCCGTATAATTTCCTTCGATTCTAAAACTGTACAGTACAGTCTTTGATAATCAATATTTGGACTATTATCGGCTCTTGAATGTACTTTTTAGATGTCCTATCTATACTAATCAAATTTTAGAATATTTCACTGGCTCTTGATTCTTTGGATTATTTTACTGGGGGGGATTTTATTGGGGAAATTTGCTGTAAATGGCCAGGGATAACCAGGTATTCTGGAGATAATTCGGAATAACCGAGGGTAACTGGGGATAACCGAGGAAAATTGGGGATAACCAAGAGATAACCGGAGGAAAATTAGGGATAACTATATGATAACTGTAAATAGCCAGTGGATAACTCGAAAAATGCAAACATACCAAACTTAGAAAATTACATTTTGCAACGTTGGACAGGGAGGATAACCAGGGATGCCTGGCGATCACCAGTGACAACCGGGGATAACCAGGGATAACTGGAAATAAACCGGGATAACTTGAAGTAGGAAGGAAATTTGGTGTTCACAATTTTGCAATCAAAACCCCCCGAAGGAAATTTCACTGGGAATATTTGGTGTACATACATGGCCAGGAATAACCGAGGATAACTTCGGATTCTGATGAGGATACTTGGGGATAACTCAAAATAACAGAGGATAACTACTGGGGATAACCGAGGAAAATTGAGGGTAACCGAAGGATAACCGTGGATAATTAGGGCTGGAACTCTGTAACCAACGCAGAGATATTTTCTCTATCTCTATTGACTTCACCTTTCTACTGATTTCGAAAAGAGAGAAGAAGACAGCAAGTGCCATAGCGATAGGGATAAAGATCTCTATCCGTTAAAGAGTCCCAGCCCAGGGTCCTTATTCTTGAAACAGGAGAGCAGCGTTCCCAGGAGAACGAGTGTTTCGTCTTTGTTACTTATATTATCAGTTTCATATCATTGAGAAAGATTGAACACTCATTCTCTTGAGAATGCTGCTCTTCTATTTCAAGAATACGGCCCCTGATATCTTTATTAGCAGGAATTAGTACATTGGGTAGTCTTGGTAGAGGTGTATCTGCCATATCAAAACTGTAATGTAATGTGTAAGGCTCGGAAAAATTGAAAGCTATGGAGGAAATTGGGAAAAAAGGTACAGGATTGTAAATACCTGAAACAAACTCCAAGAGGATTTGATTTATATTTGAAAAGGCAACAACAGTCAAAAACTACCAGTGAAATTCAAGAAGTAATAGAAAATGTTAAGGATGTAAAACACCTATAGAATAATCAAGAATCTCAGGTGGAATCTGAAGGAATTGAAGAATCAATGAATAAACACAAACCAAATTATCTTTGAGATTATGTTCTTGACACTGTTCCATTGAAATTTTCGTATTTAAATTAAAGGAATTGACTCTGAAAAGTTATTCAAATCCTCATTGACCTCACTCCACTCCTTCAACCACAAAAGCTCTTTGATGCAAAATGACTTTCAAGTGAAATTGTGATGCAGATGAAAATTTAAATCGATACAAATCCAGATTGGAAATCTGAGAATTTCTGGATTTGATACGAGTAAGTACCTCGTATAGTTTCCTTCGATTCTTAAACTGTAGGAGTTATTCCACCAATACCGTTATTCGCAGGACTTAGTGCATTAGGTAGTTTTGCCGGAGGTGTATCTGCCATAACACAAACTGTAATAGAGGCTAAAGGGAAAATCGAAAACTATGGAAGAAATTGGGAAAAAAGGTACGAGACTGTAAATACTTGAAAAAAACTCCAAGAGGACTTGGTTTATACTTGAAAATGCAACAACAGTCAAAAACTACCAGTAAAACTGAATAAGTATTAGAAAATGTTGAGGATATAAAACACCTAGAGAACAATCAAAAATCTCAGATAGAATCTGAAAAAGTTGAGGAATCAATAATGAATCAACACAATCAAAATATCGTGAAGATTATGTTCTTGACAATGTTCCACAAAAATTTTCTGGAATAAATTGAAGGTAATGATTCTTAAAAGTTGTTAAAGTCCTCACTCTTTGAACCACAAAAGCTGTTTAATTCAAAATGAATTTCAGGTGGAAGTGTGACGAAGATGAAAATTTGAATCAATACAAATCCATACTGGTAATCAAAAAATTTCTGGATTTGATTAGACTTAAACCAACTAATCAAAGAACAATCAAATTGGGAGAAAGTAAGGAATCAAATACGAAACATTAAGAAATTCACTTACCGCGATTTCATCCTCGATACGTGTGACGTTGAGAAGAGGTTTGACCTTCTGCCACAACTTGTACCATGGCCAGGTCCTCAACTTCAAGTACTTCCTCAAGTTCCTCTGGCACACTTGAAGGGCCAAACGTTGCTCTTGCAACCTCTTGAACTCTTTCCTGGACAGGTAACCTCTAACCCAGGACTGCATCCAGGTGACGATTTTGCTCAAACGTTCGTCACGCAATTCTTCCATCTGACCCAAAACTCCGGCACGGAAGAACACCTATATATAGATTATTGTTTATTTTAGCCAGACTTTGATGGGCTTCAAACAAATATATTGCTGTGATTGTTTTTTAGCTTTAAGCCACATAAAACACTGAGTTAATTAATTGTTGCAATCACTTATCGACTCGGTCTACATCTACCTTGGTTTTACCCAGGCGGAATTGTTCTTTGTCTAAACTGATTGCATCCAGAATGAGTGCGGCAGCTTTTTCTGGCGTGGTGGCGTCCTTGATCTGACTTGCTGCCAGAATTTTGTATCTGATTCAAGTCAAATGATCGGCGTTAACACATGTAACTAATACTACTACACAATTAAGTAAATTGGGGTTTTTGTGCAACAAAAAAAAAACACATATAGCATAGCTTGGTATCTAATAGCTATGTAGTTGTACACACAAATATATAGACAATTAAACGAGACCTTGGTGTGACCAAGACGGTACATTTCGGGATCAAGACTGGTGTTGGACAAAATAAGATCGGCGCATTTCCTTGGATCGCTTTCTTTGGAAACTGCAGCTGGGTTTAAGATTTTGTAACTGTTGAAAAATTGAGACAAATTAACATTTACATTTGGTGCGACAAAGAAAAAAAAAACAGGACTAGAACAAATTCAAGACAGCAGTCGTAGACGTAGGACAACAAGACAAACTCTTGCCTTAGTGTGTCCGACTCTGTAGCTGTCGGGATCCAAACCAATTTCTTCCAGACATTTCCTGGCAGCTTCTTTAGCTTCCTTTTCCGCTGCCATTGTTGCCGGTGCAAGAATCATGTAGCTAGTTTTTATTAATAATTTTAAATATGTCCTGCTATATTAATTATGGACAAAACAAACAGACAAGTTACTTACCGAAGTTTGAAGTCGGGGTACACCATCCTGTTGGGGAAACCTTTCCTACAAATACGGATACCTTCAAGTACACCGTTACAGGTCAGTTGGTGCATGACCAAGTGAGAGTCAATAAGACCGGGCTGTTTCAATTCGTTGGGAATGATGCAACGGACAAAGTGAGGCTGGGTTGCTCTCAAAGTAGCCATCAGGTTGTTCAATTGTTCCTATAGATGTTTGTAATAGATTAGTGAAAATTCTGAGCAAGATTTTTTGAACAAATTTGTTTAATAATGTTAGAGATTTGGATTAAGTTAAGTTGTATAAGACAAACAAACGGCAGCTAAAGCAGGAGCTTTAGTTTTAGTTTTTGGAAAATCAAATAATGTTATTCAGTTAATGGGTTTAGTTGTAGTGGCCATTTAAGTAAAAAAATGGTTGTTTAATAACTCTTTCAATGTACAAGAGACACTTAACATGTATAAGAACTCACTATATGGTGTTTTGTTCCTAAAATATTAATAAATGACACAAAAAGAAAATCCAAATTGTTCCCTAATGTACAAGTGTTTTGGAACGTAAATTATTTTACAAATTTTGTTTCAACATTTAGCGTACCTTGTAGGCGGAAGATACAGTGGCGAAACCACCACCCTTCTTACCACGACCACCTATAAAACATGCAATATTTTAGTATTAGAATTTGAAGGATGAATGGTATTTTTGGTTGTTGCAATATGCGCTTTATGGTAAATAGGTAAAAGTTAAAAGGTAAATTAGCTCTGAGCGTCTCGTGCTTGATATCAGAGTATTTACCCTGTACATAGCTGATACTGTCTGGAAGGCAGAACCCTTGGTTCTCTTGCCACCTATATTATAATAGATTCAATTTATTTTGAGTCTTTAATATTAGAATAAGTTAAAATTGGTTTTTTATTGTACCTTTAGCTTCAGGGCCACCAGATTGTCCTGGATGGTCAGCGAAGATTTCGCACAACAACTTGTTGGTACCCTTCTTGTAAAGATCCACTACGGTGTCGTTAAGGGGGTCCTTGTTCTTTTCCAACCAACCGGTGATATTGTAGGGTACGTTACCGGCATAATGGCCCAAAGTGAAGTGAGCGGCTTGCTGACCGGGCTTTGGTGGTTTGGGTTTTTGGAAGTTGGGAGATTTGCCCAAATGGTTGGTGTTCAATTTTTCGACGAAGGTGGCGTCGGTGGCCTTGGGGAACATAGATTCTTCTTCTAGGATGGATAAGATTCCCATAGGCTAGATAAATCGGTGGATAGATATTAATATAATGGGTAGTTAGAGTTGGTTGAAAGCACATTCATTATTATTAGATTTTTACAGTACCTTGCTGAAGCGGTTGTCCATTTTGCAGCTGAATTAAACCTAAACTGTGCATAGACTAAGAGGGAGGTAGAAAATTAAAAGTGCTTCTGAGGTGATTTTGGTTTTTTTTAGAGGAAATTTATCGGAAATAATTGCTCGTAATTTTTTTCTATAGTTGGATCACATCCAAGCGGCACTATATACGGACTACAAATGACCGTCCCATATCCCGTATACGCTAAATCTTTTCGCCATCCTCCCCGAAATTCAGAGTCAAATTCAAAAACTTTTGGACATTAAAATTATTCAACTATTTATATCTCCTTATTCTGCCCCCGTTTGGATTGTCTCAAAAAAGGCTGACGCTTCTGGAAAACCAAAATTTAGATTGGTCATTGATTACAGAAAACTCAGTGAAGCCACTATCGAAAATAAATACCCTTTGCCAAGAATAGAAGAAATTCTAGATAACCTTGGTAAATGTACTTATTTTACTACGCTCGACCTTGTTCAATGTTTCCATCAAATTGAAATGAGCCCTGATTTCACAGAAAAAAACCGCGATTACCCTTTGGATTGAAAAATGCTCCAGCTACATTCCGGAGAATGATGGACGAAATTTTGAGAGAGTATCTATACAAATTTTGTTTTGTACCTATAGGTATATGGTATATGTTTGACCTTGTAATTTTTTCTAAATCCCTTCCTGAATCTTAAAATACAGCTAGACGAATCCGAATTTCTATTCAAAGAAGTAGCTTTTCTAGGTAACATAATTACCCCTAAATGCATAAAACCAAAACCTTCTAAAATAGAAGCCATCCAAAGATATCCAATACCCAAATCTACCAGAGAAATCAAATCGTTCTTAGGTCTCGTTGGTTGGCCAAAACAACTTTTCCAATTACAGAGTGTCTAAGAAGGGGTCACGAAAAACATATTATATAACTTAAATTGTGAACTGACACCATCTGGTAATCCAACCTTTTTATTGGTTGAAACGCCCTACCAGGACCAGTGCGCATGCATGGAGGACATTTGATAGGTTGTAATGAAAATGACCAGTTATTGTCAATATACTGCCGCTTGTATTTGATTCAACTATAGATTTTCGTGTTCTCAATGTAGAAATCACATATACGTAAAATATTCTCATCCCTTTTCAGGTGTTTGGGTATAGAATATTCAAGTATATCACAGAATAGCAGTCGAAGATCCCATATTATGGAAGTTTAAAGTGGAGGGTGGAAAGTTGTGAGTGATCATAAAGTTCACTAGATCAATATTCCTGGAGGAATTATTCTAATAATACCCTTATTAGCAGGACTTAGTACATTGGGTACTCTTGCTGGACGTGCATCTGTCATAACAAAAACTGTTATAGAACTTAAAGAATGCTCGGGAAAATCGAAATGTATGGAGGAAATTAGAGAAAAAGGTTCGAGGCTGAGGCTGTAGACATTTGTAAAAAACTCTAGCAGAATTTGGTTTATAGGAACTTGGAAATTACCAGTGAAGCTACCTAATATAGGTAGATCCCAATGACATTTAACTAAGTACCATATTTAAAAAGAGTTTTTATGCGTGATACTCTTCCTAAAAAACCTGAACAGTGCTGTAGTGAACTTGGGCTCTAATAAAAACGCTGGTATTCATCGGGTAGGTATAGTTTATAAAAAACATGGAAATTGTGTGGAATATTTTGATATGATTGATAGAATAAGTATAAATTATATGGAATAAGTATATTGAGAGCGGAAAAAATATGCGAATTTTTCAAGGAGAATATTGTACCAGTAGAATTATGGTTTGGAGAGAAGCCTCTGGACAGTATTTTCAATTTGGTTGTATATCTGTAGCTGAAAAATGGAAAATTCAACAGTTAGATGAAATAATCTTCCATAATAAGTTTGAGCTCTCAAAATAGCTGTAGGACGTGAAAAAATACGAGTACCTTGTATAATTTCTATTGATTCTAAAACTAAAGGGATTATTTAAGTGATACCCTTATTCGCAGGACTTGGTGCATGGGGTACTCTTGCTGGAGGTGCAACTGCGATAGCAAAAACTGTTGCTGAGACTAAACAATGCCCGGAAAAATCGAAAGCTATGGAGAAAATTGGGAAAAAAGGTACGGGACTGTAGGTACGTGAAAAAAACTCCAGGAGAATTTGGTTTATAGGTACTTGGAAAAGCAAAAATATTTAAAAAACTACCAGTAAAGTAACCTAATATAGATTCCTCTATTATTATGAGATTTTGTAAATAAATTAAAAGTACCATATTTCAAAGAAGTTTCCTTAAGATTCATAAGGAAAGAGTGCTGTGAAGGGCTGGAACAGCAGAAGAATGATTTGATGAAAATATCTTAAGAACTGGAACTGAATATGCAAAGTTGTTAGTGATCCTGAAACAATACTTTTCATAAGGATGAGGCGGAAAATAAGAATGAAGGTGCAAAGATGTGAGTATCATGAAATTCACTAGATAAATATCCACAATACAATTCCTAATGAGTGTGAATATTGAACAAAAAAAAAATGAGCCTTTTCAATTTGCTTGTATATCTCTAGCTGAAAAATGAAAACTTCAACAGTCAGATGAAATAATCTCACATGATAGGTTCAAGTAGCTCTTAAAAAAGCTGGTGGACGTAAAAAAATACGAATATTTTCCAATTCTAGAGTTGGAGGGATTATTTCAATGATATCCTTATTCGCAGGACTTAGTGCTTTGGGTACTTTTGCTGGAGGTGCAACTGTCATAACAAAAACTGTTATAGAGGCTAAAAAATGATAAGAAAAATTGAAAGCTATGAAGGAAATTGGGAAAAAAGGTACGGGATTGTAGGTAGGTACCTGAAGAAAACTCCAAAAGGATATGATTTATCCTTAAAAAGGCAACAGTAGTCAAAAAACTACCTGCTACCTGTGAAGCTACTTAATAGATTCCTATATGCTTATGAGTTTCCATGATTATAAGTGATAAATTAAACAATTCGGGCAATCAATCTCTGACAAATCTCCTCCATCTAAAGTGTAACAATTGGCAAAACTATAGTGAAACAAAATAAGCTATATATTCTACGAGGTGAAACTAAAAAAAGAAAACTCCATTGCAAACGTCGGTACTTCAAAGTGTCCAAAATCGTTGAAGTACCTTTTCAATCAGATCAATGCACTCTTGAAGATCCAAACCGAAATCAATATATTTCCAGGGCACGCCCTCGATTAAATATTGCTCTTGTTCCAAGATGAACATGTGATGATTATAAAACTGTTGCATTTTTTCGTTGGCAAAGTTTACGCACAGTTGATTAAAGCCATTATACTGAAATATTAACAATCAGTTTTGGGTTAGCACAAAAATCTCAATTCATAAAACGGTTAATTTATATAGACAAAAGCAGTGCGTTCTAGAAACCAAAACTTGTGTTGAGTTTTATAAAAAAAAAAAGCTTGAAGTAATTGGCACTACCATGTGCAATTATACCTTCTCGATAAGTTCGATACAGGCAGCCAAGTCCATACCAAAATCGATAAAGGCCCATTCGATACCTTCGCGTTGGTATTCTTCTTGTTCAAGCACAAACATGTGATGGTTAAAGAATTGTTGCAACTTTTCGTTGGTAAAGTTGATGCAAAGTTGTTCAAAGCTGTTGAACTATACATGTAAAAACAAACAAACATATAAACTACAAGTGCTCTAAGTGATATCCAGGTGCCCTGTACAGGTGGGATGGAAAATCGACTTTCGAAGCAATTTATTACACATATATACATAGTTTGGAGTTAGCCACATATAGTACATCGATTGAGTTGATTTTGTAACCAATTACCTTTTCAATCAACTCAATACAAGCGGCCAAGTCCATACCGAAATCGATAAAGGTCCATTCGATACCTTCAGATTTGTATTCTTCTTGTTCCAACACAAACATGTGATGGTTAAAGAATTGTTGCAACTTTTCATTTGTAAAGTTGATACAAAGTTGCTCAAAGCTGTTGAACTAAGATAATAACGTGAACACAACAATACAACAATAGATTCTTGACCTGTAACATTGGTGGAATCATCGTCTACTATTTACAATATTTTTGGCCAACGTATCCTGCAAGACCAATAAATAAAAAAAAAAAAAAAACAAACATTCACAATTTCGTCGCTTCCTTTTGCACAATACCTTTTCGATTAACTCAATGCACGCGGCCAAATCCATGCCAAAATCAATAAACACCCAATCAATGCCTTCAGTTTTGTATTCTTCTTGTTCCAGCACAAACATGTGATGGTTGAAGAACTGTTGCAGTTTCTCATTCGTAAAGTTGATACAGAGTTGCTCAAAACCGTTGAACTATTATATGTACAAAAGTCATTTATTGAACCCAAAACGTGTCTTTATTTGGTGTTGTTGTTTGGGGACCTGTTTTTCGATGAACACTCATTCAAATGGCACTCATTTAGCAAACCAGTTTTTGTTTAAATATACCTTTTCGATAAGTTCAATACAAGCAGCCAGATCCATACCGAAATCAATAAACACCCAATCAATACCCTCAATTTTGTACTCTTCCTGTTCGAGCACGAACATGTGATGATTGAAGAATTGCTGCAGCTTTTCGTTTGTAAAATTAATGCAGAGCTGCTCGAAGCCGTTGTACTGTTAAATAAAATTGCTTGATAGTGACTAGATTTTTTTTCCATAGCTAAAATGCATGCAAATTGCTTACCTGAAAGCGCGAAGCTGGCAGATTTTGTATGATTCAATTTACTTTTTACTATAAAGACATATACAAAATCTCCAAAACATTAGTTGCCAATCGAAGCTAACCTTTTCGATAAGTTCAATGCAAGCGGCCAAGTCCATACCAAAGTCAATGAACACCCAGGTAATACCCTCTCTGGTGTATTCTTCTTGTTCCAGTACGAACATGTGATGGTTGAAGAATTGTTGCAACTTTTCGTTAGTAAAGTTAATGCAAAGTTGCTCGAAGCCGTTATACTGTTTTGGCAAAAGTAAATATTAGTTAGAGAAAGCGTATTATATAAAGCTTCAAGTGAATATTTGTCTCAGTCATTCTAACTCACTTATTTACATTATATTAAATTTATTTACATAAATGAGGTCCCAATTTTGTTGCCTAGAATTGTAACTGTATATATATTATGTCTTAGATTGAAATATGTACAAGATAATGTGTAATGGTAAAGGCCGATTCATCAACTATTGCAATATGAAACTTGAAGAGTTGGAAAATTATTCCTAACAACTGTGATGTTAGAAAATTTGATTTTTAAGTTCAAAGTTTGCCTCTTATTAGGTGGGAATCAGTCTTTAGAGTAGGTATCTACTCAGACAGCACAGAGACATCATAAAGACGTTCCTAAGATGTCCACAAACGACATTAGACGTCTGCTTACGTCTTCAAGATATCTCAAAGACGTCGTATGTTACAAAATCCAACGTCTTTCAAACGTCTTCAGGACTAATATTTCATTATATGACTCATTTTATAACTGTCAATTTTGGTCTATTCCAAACGCTAGGCTCTTAAGCTCTTGATTTCTTTTAAACGAAAAGATAAACAAAATTCATTTTGGAAGAAAAACATTTAAAAAGCCAGGAATTGTGATTTCGCTACCTTATTTCCTTCTTTGTCTTACTCACTATCAAGTAAGCGTTAGAATGTCATTAAACTAAAAACAAATTTCCAATTTCTTATTTCAGGAGTAGTTTCAAATCATTAGATCTGTTTCTGCAGAAATCACAAACCAGTCAGAGTGAATTTCATTGGATGAAAACAGTCAGAAAACTAGTTTCAACCAATGAAATTCACTCTGACTGGTTTGCAAGGTTCCTAAAGATCATAAATTGTCTGGTAATGGGTAACTTGATCCGGGGTGCCTTATGGAGATTACAGATGACGTCATAAAAGTTATCAGGCAACCTCCTTCTTTCAAAAAACCTTGACTGGTTTGTGATTTCTGCATGTGGCAACGTCGCTTTCAATATCATTTGCCACTTTTGACAGTCCGCCATTTTGAGTGACACGTTTTCGTTTTTATTCAGTTTTTTCTCTATTTTTCCACTTTTTCAGGGTCTTTGCGATCGGGGCTTTGAATTTCCTTCATTTTCTAGCAAACATTTCTGCTTTTCAATGGAGTAAGTAACCAAAATTTGGGTTTTATCAATTAGGCTTTGGAATGTCATTTTCGTTGGTTTTTCTTTGGATTTTCCGCTGTTTTAATTGGAAAAAGATGGTTCTAAGTGCGGGGCTTTAAATTTGCGTTTTTTTCTGTCACTTTTAGATAGACCACTTAAATTGTATCCTACTTTGTCTAACTCATTTCATAATCGCATTTGCTGCTTATATGCAAATAAACCCTATTTCATCTCCTTTTTTGTCTTACTCATTCATCACTATTTTTCCCAAAAATATAATCAAATTAACAATAAAAGTGGAAATTTGTTACTTTTCCAGGCTGCAATTTCATCGGAAAATGAGGAAAAATTCTTGAAAAACATTCGGATTGAGATTCTAATTGTGGCAACATCGCTTTCAATCAAGAAGGCCTTTTGTAATAAATGTCATTCGTCATTTTTGTCAGTCGGCCATTTTGAGTGTTTTTATCCAGTTTTCCTCGAATTTTCCGCTTTTACAGGCCCTTTTCACTCAGGAAAACTGATATAAAGTGCAGGGTTTTAGATTTTCTTCATTTTCTGCCAAAAATTCCAGCTTTTAAGTGCTAAAATCAAGAGCGAAGGGTAAATGAGAAAAATTTATTAAAAAACAACTTTTTTGGGGAATTTTTAGTTTTAAAATCAATGGTCGCGTTCACCAATACTCAACATGTTGAGTAATTAGTAATCGTCTTTGTTCCAATAAGTGGAATACACAAGGTAGAACAGTTTTGATTGGCCTAGAGCTGAATTTCATCTGTTTTCAACAAAGCCGCTGACTAATCACTTAACTTGTTGAGTGCTGGTGAATGCGACCATTATCAATTAGCTATTTAACGACTTTTTCATTAAATTACCCATTGCCATTAAAAGATATTTTTTTTAGGTGCAACACCGCCTTCACTCAATCGAGTAGGCTTTGGAATGTCATTTATAAAGTCTTACAGTGACATTTGACAGTCGGCCATTTTGAGTGATGCGTTTTCGTTTTAGTTCCTGGAATTTCCCAGTTTCCCAGCGAGAAAAATGGTTTTAAAGTGCGAGATTTTGGATTTGCGTCTTGCGTCATTTTCTGTCAAAAATTTCCAGTTTTCAAATGGGATAAGTGAGTAAAACTTCAGTTTTTTTTTTTTTAAATTAGTTTTCTAAACTTCTGAGGTTTTTAAATTGATCTGAAGCAATGATATCTCAACACAGATAGATACCGCATCTCATTCATAAACTGATGTTTGTTCCAATAAGTGGAATACACAAGGTAGAACAATTTTGATTGGCCTAGAGCTGAATTTCATCTGTTTTCAACAAAGCCGCTGACTAATCATTTAACATGTTGAGGTGAACGCGACCATTATCAATAAGCTATTTAACGACTTTTTCATTAAATTACCCATTGCCATTAAAAATGATTTTTTTTAGGTGGCAACACTGCCTTCACTCAAGTTTCAATCGAGTAGGCTTTCGAATATCATTTATAAAGCTATTTGACAGACGGCCATTTTGAGTGAAGCGTTTTCGTTTTTGTTACTGGAATTTCCTAATTTTCCGGGACTTTCTCAGCGAGAAAAGTGGTTTTAAAGTGCGATATTTTGGATTTCTGTCATTTTCTGTCAAAAATTTCCAGTTTTCAAATGGGATCAGTAAAAAAAACTTCAGTTTTTTTAAAAATTAGTTTTCTAAGCTTCTGAGGTTTTTAAATTGATCTGAAGCAATGATATCTCAACACAGATAGATACCGCATCTCATTCATAAACTGATGTTTGTTCCAATAAGTGGAATACGCAAGGTAGAACAATTTTGATTGGCCTAGAGCTGAATTTCATCTGTTTTCAACAAAGCCGCTGACTAATCATTTAACATGTTGAGGTGAACGCGACCATTATCAATAAGCTATTTAACGACTTTTTCATTAAATTACCCATTGCCATTAAAAATGATTTTTTTTAGGTGGCAACACTGCCTTCACTCAAGTTTCAATCGAGTAGGCTTTCGAATATCATTTATAAAGCTATTTGACAGACGGCCATTTTGAGTGAAGCGTTTTCGTTTTTGTTACTGGAATTTCCTAATTTTCCGGGACTTTCTCAGCGAGAAAAGTGGTTTTAAAGTGCGATATTTTGGATTTCTCTCATTTTCTGTCAAAAATTTCCAGTTTTCAAATGGGATCAGTAAAAAAAACTTCAGTTTTTTTAAAAATTAGTTTTCTAAGCTTCTGAGGTTTTTAAATTGATCTGAAGCAATGAAATCTCAACACAGATAGATACCGCATCTCATTCATAAACTGATGTTTGTTCCAATAAGTGGAATACACAAGGTAGAACAGTTTTGATTGGCCTAGAGCTGAATTTCATCTGTTTTCAACAAAGCCGCTCACTAATCACTTAACATGTTGAGGTGAACGCGACCATTATCAATAAGCTATTTAACGACTTTTTCATTAAATTACCCATTGCCATTAAAAATGATTTTTTTTAGGTGGCAACACTGCCTTCACTCAAGTTTCAATCGAGTAGGCTTTCGAATATCATTTATAAAGCTATTTGACAGACGGCCATTTTGAGTGAAGCGTTTTCGTTTTTGTTACTGGAATTTCCTAATTTTCCGGGACTTTCTCAGCGAGAAAAGTGGTTTTAAAGTGCGATATTTTGGATTTCTGTCATTTTCTGTCAAAAATTTCCAGTTTTCAAATGGGATCAGTAAAAAAAACTTCAGTTTTTTTAAAAATTAGTTTTCTAAGCTTCTGAGGTTTTTAAATTGATCTGAAGCAATGAAATCTCAACACAGATAGATACCGCATCTCATTCATAAACTGATGTTTGTTCCAATAAGTGGAATACACAAGGTAGAACAGTTTTGATTGGCCTAGAGCTGAATTTCATCTGTTTTCAACAAAGCCGCTGACTAATCACTTAACATGTTGAGGTGAACGCGACAATTATCAATAAGCTATCTAACGACTTTTTCATTAAATTACCCATTGCCATTAAAACATATTTTTTTTAGGTGGCAACACCGCCTTCACTCAATCGAGTAGGCTTTGGAATGTCATTTATAAAGTGTCATTTGACAGTCGGCCATTTTGAGTGACGCGTTTTTGTTTTTGTTCCTGGAATTTCCCAGTTTCCCAGCGAGAAAAGTGGTTTTAAAGTGTGGGATTTTGGATTCGTGTAATTTTCTGTCAAAAATTTCCAGCATTCAAATGGGATAAGTGAGAAAAACTTCAGTTTTTTTCAAAAATTAGTTTACTAAGCTATTGAGGTTTTTAAATTGATCTGAAGCTATGACATTTTAACACAGATTCATAGACTGATGTTTGTTGTGATGACAAGACCCCCCCCCCATGGGCTAGAAAAGGTGAGCTGCTCGAGGGGGGTCATGGCAAGGATGATACACAGTACTACTACAAGATCCTAGGAGATCCTATCCTCATAAGGCCTGTGTGGAACAGAGATATTGAAGTCTTTCAGACATCTGCCTGAAGTTGTCTTTAGGACTAATACTTTTTAAAGAAGTCTTCAACGGAGATGTCCTAAAGACGCTTTTGGATATCTTTCCAATACATAAACCAGTATTTACTTTTAGGCCTGGTTTACCAAATACTTAGTTGTCTTTAAGGATGTTTTACGATAGATATCTTATGGACATTTTCAAAACAACGTCTTTTTTTTTTGGTTTTCAGACGTTCAGACGTAATTCAGATCTCAAGAATACATACGTCTTTAAGACTCTGTGTGCTGTCTAGGCTTCAAAGATATCTATTTGTTCTCCAAGTACATCAACCATTTTCGAAAGAGTAAATGAAGCTTGAAAATCTATTCACTTTATGAGAATGCAATTTTGATGAGAAGAAATTTGACTTTCAAGCTCAAAATTTGCCTCTTACCAAGATGTGAATCGGCCTTCAAGAGATTCCAAGTAAATAACTTAATTTTTGATCAAAATCCAAAACAAAGCTATCAAATTTAATCAAGAAATATTTCCACCATGTACAGGAATATGTAAAATAAACCAAAAACATTAAAAAACTTACATCGAAGATTTCAAAACCGGCAATATCCAATACACCAATGAAATGTTGTCTCTTCTGTTTGGTGTCCAAAGTTTCATTACATTTTTTGACCAAGAATTTGAACAGCCTGTCAAACATGGCCTTGGACATGGCACCAACCGAGTAGGACACTTGGTTGACGTTCCTACCTTGGGTGACGAATTCGTTACCGACCTTGATTCTGGGTTTGACCAGAGCGGTGTAAAGGGCCATGGTGTCTACACCCAACAATTTGGCGACGTTTTCACCTTCCTAAATTTGTGTGCATAAGTATTTTGTTTTGGAGAAGTTTGGTTGAATAAATACCTGTGTACCATCGGCTTCAGCTTGTTCTTCACGACCTCTTTGTTTGAATTTCATTGTACCCATGTGCATAACGGCAGCGGTGATTTTGTAGATGTCATCTTTTTCTTCTTGGGTGAAACCAAGGATATCGAAAGCTTGCTATTTTATTATAGGGAAATCATGTTAATATATAATATGTTTCACAACAATACACGTACAATATTTGGCAAAAAGGAAGCTATAAAAGGTCTCAACATAAAAGGGTAATATTTCATCAACATTGACAATTATTATTCACTTACATCTGTAGCTGTCATTTCTTCAGCATCATCTACACCGGCGATCGTTACCTTACCCTGAGCAACGTTGTTATAATCGTAGATATCGTTACTCAGAAGGCACATGGCTGGTAAAAAAAAATACACAAAATTAAAATATTCCCTTAACAATTGGACCTTTGTTGCAATAATAAATATAAAAAAGCCTGCAATAAGCGCATATATAGATACATATATAAAAAGGCAGCTGGAGTTAGTTTTTGGCCAACTTACATCGGTAAGGGTACATTCCTCAGCATCGTCTACTGATGGAATTTTAGTTTTTCCCTGGGATACGAAATTGTAATCCATAATGTTGTTAGACAACAAACACATTGCTGGAATTAAGGAATTGTATAGGGTTAAACGACAATAAGTACTACATTGTCTTAAAGGAATTAATCTACAATTTGTTCTGTATATATTCTACATTAGGGGATCGATTTTTTCCTAAATCAATTGAGGAGGAGGGATGACAATTATTAGTGACAAAAAAACATAAATAGTCTACAATAGCGAGAAAGATCTTTTGCTCGCTTACATCTGTAAGTCTCAATTCTTCAGCGTCATCTACACCGGGAATGGTAGTTTTACCCTGGGCGATAAAATTGTAGTCCATTACGTTCTCGGATAAAAGGCATTGTTCTACAAAAATGTGGATTTTTTTTTAGTGGGTCTTTGATACACTAAGGGGCAACAAGGGGGGGGGGGATTTCATGCTAATATAAATCCATGCTATAATATAATACAATATGTCCCGTATTGAGTATGGCTTGAATATGAAATCAAGGGCTAAACTTTTTGTCTCTTACGTCGGTTAAAGTACATTCTTCGCCATCGTCTACGTTAGGGATTGTGATTTTACCCTGCGCTACGAAATAGTAATCCTTTATGTCGTTTGATAACAGGCACATAGCTAAAGAGACAATAAATCACCTATAGATGGGGTAATAGTAAAATAATTAGCAAGAAAAAGAACAGTTTCGATAGGATGAAACTCTCCTTTCTGTTGTGTAGGTATTTTGTCTGGACTCCATTTAATAATAAGTAAATTTGACTTACTTTTAAGGTTTGGTACAGCTCCGGACATGATTTGGTAGAAAATGTGGTAAGATCTTTCCAAAGTTTGTTGGGAGATTACACGAGCCTTCTCGAGCAAATCTGGAATTTATTTTGTTTAGTAAAAGTGAATAAAAAATGTTCAGTCATTTACTTACAAGTTTCAATGTCGGCACCGGCCAATTTACCAGTGGGGCCGAAGTGGATACGGATGAATTTACCCTATTTGAGGAGTAGAAGAGAAATATTAGTTATGAAAGATAATATGGAATTATTCATTAGTCTTTGATAATCAATATTCGGACTATTATCGGCTCTTGAATGATCTTTATAGATTTATTTTTCTCAGGCAATCAAGACTATCAAGAGCCAAACCAAATTTTGATTATCACCATTGGAATTATTACAAATTGTACAGTCTTTCTTAATCAATATTTGGACTATTATCGGCTCTTGCATGACCCTTTTAGATGTCTTTTCTAGGGAAATCAATCAAATTTTAGACTGTTACTGGTTCTTGATGCATTGGATCATTTTTCGCAGACAATCAAGACTATCAAGAGCCAATCCAAATTTCGATTATTACCGATGGAATTATAGGAAACTCTGCAGTCTTTGATCATCAATGTTTGGACTATTATCGGCTCTTGAATGACCCTTTTAGATATCTTCTCTAGGGAAGTTAATAATCAAATTTTAGATTGTTACTGGCTCTTGATCTATTGGATCACTTTTCTCAGGCAATCAAGACTATCAAGAGCCAGTCCTTATTTTGATTATTACCGTTGAAATAATTACAAATTGTACAGTCTTTGATCATCAATATTTGGACTATTACCAGCTCTTGAATGGCTCTTTTAGATGTTTTTTCTAGGAAAATCAATCAAATTTTAGACTGTTACTGGTTCTTGGTATATTAGATCATTTTTCTCAGATAATCAAGACTGTCAAGAGCTAATAATCCTAATTTTGATTATAACCGTTGGAATAATTACAAATTGTACAGTCTCTGATCATCAATATTGGGACTATTACCGGCTCTTGAATGGCCCTTTTAGATGTCTTTTCTAGAGAAATTAATCAAATTTTAGAATATTACACTGGCTCTTGATTCTTTGGATTATTTTTCTGAGGGGGATTTTACCTCTGGAAATTTGTTGTACATGGCCAGGGATAACCAGGAATAACTTGGTATTTTGGGGATAATCCGAGATAACTGAGGGTAACTGGGGATAATCAATAGATAACCGGAGGAAAATTGGAGATAATTAAATGATAACTGTAGATAGCCAGGGGATAACTGGAAAAATGCAAACATTCCAAACTTAGAAAATTACATTTTGCAACATTGGACAGGGAGGATAACCAGGGATAACTGGCGATTACCAGTGACAATAAACCGGGATAACTTGAAGTAGGAAGGAAAGTTGGTGTTCACAATTTTGCAATCGAAACCCCCCGAAGGAAATTTCACTGGGAATATTTGGTGTACATGGCCAGGGATAACCGGGAATAACTTGGGATTCTGGGATACTTGGGGATAACTCAAAATAACAGAGGATAACTATTGGGGATAACCAATGAAAATTGGGAATAACCGAAGGATAACCGTGGATTACCAGGGTCCTTATTCTTGAAATATTGTAGCAGTGTTCCCAGAAGAACGACTGTTCCATCTTTCTCAATGATATGCGAATGATAATATGAGTAACAAAGACGGAACACTCGTTCTCCTGGAAACACTGTTCCCCTGTTTCAAGAATGAGGGCCCAGGGGATAACTGAAACAATGCAAACATACTAAACTTAGAGAATAACATTTAACAACGTTAGACAGGAAGGATAATCAGGAATAAATTGGCGATCACCAGGGATAACTGGAAATACACAGGGATAACTTGAAGTAGGAAGGAAGTTCGGTACACAATTTTTGCAATCCAAACACCCCTGAAGAGATTTCACTGGGGATATTTGGTATACCGGGTGATTGTCTATATTTTGCACCCACACCCCACACCTATCTCACCTGTTTGGAAAGATACCCAGAAATGTCAAATGAGAAAGTTGTAGGTAATGTCAGGAAATTTTCAATGAGGTTAGTTGCAAGTTTACAGGGTGTGGGATAAAAGTGTGGCAAAACAAAGTTAAGCTTTTTTAAATGGAACCCCTCGTATATTATTGACCTATTGGATTAGCCTTTCAAACCTAGTATAACCTAATAAACCTGAACTATTAAGTCCAGGAGAAAATAAGAAAAAAAAGGGGTGGAATAATTTTGCATTTTTATTAAAAAAGGTGAAGTATAGAGACCACTAGCAAAATATAAAGGTAATCATTTGAGTAAAAAATTCATATACAGGGTGTCCACTTAGTGCGATATCTCTTTACAGGGTGATGCAAGAAAAAAAATTTGAATTACAAAGTTGTTTGATACTTTAATATGCATTAGTTAAAAATATTTTCGAATATACAAGGTACTCCGTTTATGGGGTATGCGACAGAACTTTGTTATTTTAAATGGAACACCCTATAAGTGAATGCATATTTGGATTCTAAATAAAATTCTGAGCAGATTTCATGTAATACACCCTATACCTAAGCTCAACTGTTTTGGAAATATTGACAGGCTGTAAAACCTAAACGATTAATTTTAGACGAAAACCGATTTTACATTCCTATCTTAGATTTTTATAAACTATCATTTGACCCTAACTTTGAATTTAATCCATGATTAAAAATTCCAGTAAAATTTAATCTTCGGTTAAATTCAAAATTGGTGTCAAATGATAGTTTATGAAAATCTAAGATAGGAATGTAAAATCGGTTTTCGTCTAAACTTAACCGTTTAGGTTTTACAGCCTGTCACTGTCAAAGTTGCAAAAAGTCAATTTTCAACTGTCAATATTTCCAAAACAGTTGAACTTAGGTACAGGGTATGTTTCATGAAATCTACTCAGAATTTTATGTAGAATTCAAAATTCAAATATGCAATCACATACAGGATGCTCCATTTAAAATAACAAAGTTCTGTCGCATACCCCATAAACAGAGCACCCTGTATATTCAAAAATATTTTTAACTAATGTATATTAGAGTATCAAACAACTTTGTATTTTAATTTTTTTTTCTTGCATCACCCTGTAAGAAGATATCGTCCGATATCGCACTAGACACCCTGTATATTCAAAATGGAATATTCAGAGGCTGGACTATGAAGAGTAAACCCAAAAAACCTATAGTATATTTGGAATCGGGTTTGATAGGCTAATCTAATAGGACGATAATATACCGGATGTTCCATTTAAAAAAGCATAACTTTACTTCGCTACACTTTTGTGACACACCCTGTATACTTGTGAATATCTTCATTGCCAAGTTTCTGATATAATAATCTACATCTTTCACATTTGACTTTTTTGGGTATCCCTTCAAACAGGTGAGTTAGGTATGGGTGCAAAATATAGACAATCACCCAGTATATAGCCAGTGATAACCAAGGATAACTCTGGATTCTAGGGATACCTAGGGATAAGCCGGAATAACCGAGAATAACTAGAGATAACCAAGGAAAACTGGGGATAACCAAGGAATAACCAAAGGATAACCGAGGATTACCAAATGATAATCGGGCAGATTGCTGGAAATATTAAGACATAATACACTTGAAAAATTACATTTGGTAACGTTGGACAAAGGGGATAACCAGAAATAACCGAGGATGACCAGGGATAATCAAAGATGACCAGGGATAACTAGGAATAAACAGGAATAATTTCAAGTGGAAAAGAAGTGATGTATTTTTCATACACAATATTACAATCGGAGCCTCCCTCGATAATTACCATCTCTTGACTGATATAAGAAAAATAATTAACTATTTTGAATGAAGGGAAATAACCTTATGAAAAAAAGAATTTTTGTTCAAAAAACTCATAGAACAGAGGAGTTCAAGAAAAAACTTCATCGAAGGAAAAGTTTTAAAAAAATTGCATAATGTAGTTGAAAGGTAGTATAACTCAGCAAAACATTTATATTCTTTCTAAAGGCGGTCCAAATTATTTAAAAGAAAGAGAAAACTCAACAAAAAGTTCAAAAAACCACGTTTACCCAAAGGCAATAATTTAAGAGCCGGTAATATTCAAAATATGCAAACTCAAGTATTTGAACAAACCAAGATTTGGAGAGGTATTGGAGCAAACATTGCTACATAGAAACTATATCCAGCCAATCAAGAGCCAGTAATAATCACTAACCAGTAATAGTTTGATTATTCTAGCCCTGATGAGTGTCGAAACGTTTAAATCTGTGAAACTCTTTGGTGGATATGAGTCTACTTACGAAACGTGAAGAGTTGTCGTTACGGACGGTCTTGGCGTTACCGAAAGCTTCAAGTACAGGATTGGTTTGTACTACTTGATCTTCCAGAGTACCTTTTTTCTGTTGTTCTTCAGTGGGTTTTTTGCTTGAAGCACCGACGGTGGCAAAGTAAGCGATTACCTTTTTCGTGTTTTCAGTTTTACCGGCACCAGATTCACCGGTAATCAACATAGATTGATTTTCATGATCTGTAATTATTGAGTGTTGTTATTTGGTATAATATTTGGTGGTTGAGTACTTACTGGTCAACATGTTTACGTAGGCGCCGTCAGAAATGGCGAAAATGTGAGGTGGTACTTCATTACGCCTCTTACCACGGTACAATTTGGCACAACGGTTGGTGTATACAGGGAAACGCTTGTAAGGGTTAATAGCGACGCAGAAGAGTCCAGAGTAAGTCTATATATAAAATAATAAATAATTAAAACCTTTATATAAACAATATTTTATAAAACAAACAATAAAATTATTTTGGCCTTTGTCGTAGTAATTCCGATTTATAGGCCCACACAAAAATATCCAGGAGTTAAAACAAATAATATAAGAAAACCAAAAATTCTTGGTCGGTGTATTGCCGATGTTTTTCCAAGAAGCTCCAAGGGGATGTTCTCTCTCGCATTTCTGGATCACTTACGTAGATAAGCTTGGCATAATAACGTTGTTTTAAGTTGTGCAAAACGGAAGCGTCATTGAGGTATGTCAAATTGGACATGTCCTCGGCTTTTTCGTACTTAGGAGGGTTCACTTGGGTGACGAGTTCCTTCTTGAAGTTCTTTTCCTAGTTTCGGTCGAAGAAAAAAATGGTATTAGTGTCAGTGGTACGAGGTACTTACGTAAATAAGTTTGGCGTAGTAGCGCTGTTTCAGATTGTGCAAAACGCCAGCATCGTTTAGGTAAGTCAAATCGGCCATGTCTTCGACTTTTTCGTATTTGGGCGGGTTCACTTGGTGAACTTGATCTTTTTTGAAGGATTTTTCCTATAAGTATAGACTCAGAAGTTTAATTTCTGGGATGGTTTAAGCAGTGGAATCCTCTTATAATGGAGGCTTGATCATTTTGAGAATATCCAAATATTTTTATATTCACTTGGTTCATTATAGGTGGATTTCACTTTTACGGGGGGAATTCAAAATTAGCAAGTATCTTCATGATTTTTAAAAATTCCATGAATGGAATTATGATGTATCTAAGTATAGTATTTCCAAACTCAATTGGAACAAGGTACCAACTGATGGCTGACTGGTCACCGAAAATCAGCCATCAGTTATGATTTATGTTCACCTTGTTCTAATTGATTTTGGAAACACTATAATTATAGAAGAGATATCGAATGGAATTTTTGTTAGGTTGTGGATCTCATCAAAAGTGATAAAAATGCTTAATAAGTTGATCCAAACTTGAGAAGTTTCAAGTATTTATCATTATCGGCGTTTAAGTTAACAATTCAAAAGCTTCATAATGCATTTCTGCTTAGAATGCTTGCTAAAGTGGATTTTTGGGTTCTTTTCTAATTTCAATGGAATCCGACTTGAGACTTTAGTATCAGATACTCCTAGCTAGCTTTCTTCTATAGACTTGAAAAGTTTCAAACTTTTATCATTATCGGCGTTTGAGATAAAAATTCAAATGTGTCATAATGCATTTTTCCGTTAAATAATTGTCAAGGTTGATTTTTGGGATTTTTCCTAATATGGAATCGTTTTAAGACTTTGTTATGAGATACTCTTGACCTTTTTCTAAAGACTCAAAAAGTTTGAATTTTGAAATTGGATGTTTGCCAAAGTTGCCTTGATTTTGAAGGATTACTTTATAATTGCTAGTATAAGATATTTTGATAACAAGTAGATGTTTTGGACCTAATAACTCATCAGTACAAACCTCTCATTTTCAAATGAGTATCGTACTTGATTCACTCATTAATCCCAAACAATCCTCAGCAATTTGAAGCTTACAAAACTTAGTTAGGTTACATAAATATAATTCTATAGTTGATTCGTTGAAAATTAATGGGTGTCAAATGAAGTACGATTTTAACATGATGTTCAATTCAAATGACACCAATATTGGGAAATACTGGAGTTTTGAACAGAAATTGTATTAAAGAGAAATGGCAAAAATGAAATAAAGTTTTCTCAATAATTAATTTTTGAAAGGCAGTTTGTTTCCTAATAATGTGCTACAATAATTGACAAGATGTTGAATAAACTCAATTAAGGTTGAGTGATGATTGATGGCTTGTTTCCTATACCATGCAATTTGTTCAATAAAAATAAATCAATTCTAAAGTAAGCAAATACCGAAAGATTGGGTGTTGGAACCAAGCCAATAATTCAAAAGCTCCTTACCTCTCCACCGGGTATACCAACGGTAACAAGGTCACCCTTGGTACCCCTAATTTCACCCAACAAGAATCCCTCTTTGTCGTCCGGGACCCAGCAAGATTTTTTGGCATCGTAGGGCTTGCTTTGGTCTATACGTTTCTGTTCCAAGGAGACGAAGAGGTACGGGGTGGGATCCTCATCTTCCTGGTTCGCTGGTGCCCTAGGCATTTTGACGGAGAGTTACGAAGGGGGCTAAGCGAGACACGTATAAACAGCCCTATGAGCCTTCCTAAACCAAAAACAATTATTTTTATTTAATTCCCGAACTTTAATAATTAAAAGTTGTAAAAGGGACGAGATTACGAAACGCACTAAACTGAAAACTTTCTCTCTAAAGAATATCGCGTTGCTGATCCAGAAATCTATTTTTAATTTCCAGAATCTAGAGATCGACACGTAAGAGAATGCTACTTGTATGTCAGCTGGATATAGATCCGAAAGCGTGATTCACATTGAAGACGGGTTATATGATTCGAGCTCGTCATGCGTACTAGCAACTATTAGAAAATACTAGACAATGCGAAATCGAACACCCAGAAATTTTTCGAAAATAGATTCAGCACTCAAATTGTCCTGAGGCCGTCAGCCTTGTAAGGCAACGATGATTATTTTTGGAAACATTGCGTAATTACTATTGAGCTTTGCAAATTAATTCTTAGCAATCGATTGCGCCATCTTGGATAATATTACGTCACTACACCCGATTAATGTCACGTGACACTATCCCTTTTGGTGTCATACTAGCTTAAATTTAATTGTTAATTATACAGACCACCATAATCCAAAAATGATTGAGCACAATATAATAAATCACAAATTGGGCTAGTATGACACTTTTGGGCAATAATTACACTATAATATCACTAATCACAATACTTCCAAAATAGGGGTTGAATTCAAATCACATATAGTCCCTTTTACAACCCTTAAAAAAATTAATTTGAAAAATTCACGTCTGATGCGGATACACTTAACACTTACGTTCGAAAAGGCAGTCTGGACGGGTTTTCGGTGGTTACAAGCAATATAAATGTCTGATACCAGATCCTGGAATGTAACACCGTCGGCTATTGGTCCAGATCCAGAACCAATGGCCAATCCCGTTACAAGTTACGACGTCTCCCTTTTTAGGAGCAGGGATCGGGGACTTGGGATCCAGAAATAATTTTCGGGAATCGGATTTGTGTTAGAGCTCTAGATGGTGGCGGGTAGGGGTAATTTTGGGTTTGTTAACCCACATTTTCGATTGTCATTTCGTACTGATGGGAACCTTGAGTTAAATAATTATTGATTATTTCATTTTTACCATTATTGGCTCATACATGAAGTGAATTGATCCAGAAACTGACTAATTTTCTAGTAGTAAAACTAAAATATTAATATACACGTTATCTTGATTATAATTTACGACATAATTAATCGTGCGACATATAAATATTATGCGGTACACCAATTTCCATTAAGTTTTCACATTTACCATATAGACATTTTTCCTCGATGAGTTTCAATAACGTATAGAGTTATTTTTAATTTTTCCCACAGGCATTTTTGTTTGGTGCGTAATATAATAAGTCCAAGGAAAACATCAATTGGATATATCAAAATCCATTCAAAATTGTTTTTTGGCACTAGCATTATAATACAAACGCATTCTTACATAGTCCATTAGGAATTTTTTGGCTTTGAAATCCATTGTAAAAGGATTAGATAATGATAGCTATATACGAAAATATTGGAAGTACACAAGCAAGAAAAACCATTCCAAAAATAGGGATTATTATTATTAGACCCTCATAAGTAGGTTAAGACGTGGAGGCGTTAAAATTAGATTTAATTTCGAATTGGAATGGGAAATGTAGGCTTCAGATACAGGTGAACGTTATTTCGGATTAGAAAACTGGGTAAAATCGTCTGGAAGATCCGCACACCTTGTTTTTTTGTTTCTTTTTGGGGATTTATTTATACTTGACACCGATTTTAGAGGTTGCAGTTTCCAGGCTGCATAAGATCGACCCTTCACAAATTAATCTGAAATCTTAGTCCTATTTATTATATCAGATATCGATGAGTTTTAAACTAAATCAATTTATTTTTGGTGTATTCTAAAATTAGAACAAACTAAAATGAAATGTTTGGTTTCCTTCTTTCGCTTATGTTCTCTTGATAATTCTTATCTTTTTTATGTACCTATATATACTCTTTCCTTTGACTCTATTTAATCACATTCTATTAACCTTTCTGCTCCTCAACTTTCGCCTTAGCTTCATCAACCTACTTTCCTTTTTCTTTCTCAATCTTCTTCTCTTTTTCCTTATCAAGCTTATGTTCTTCTTCATCTGTCTTTATGCCTTTTTCATGTTTTTTGTATTCGTTTTACTGTTGCTTTACATTTTGTTAATTCTCCAGTTGTATCTTCATCGACCTCTTCTTTCTTGTTTTTCTTGAATTTCTTCTTGTTACTTATATTAAACTTGTAACTTGTTTTTCATATTCAAAGTCTATATTAATCTCCCTCTGTGTCATACTCTAGAGATGAAACAATAGGTAGCTAAGTGTAAATGAACTGAAATTTTCAGGATTTGTAAGATAAAAATTTCATGATTATTCGAAGTTTTCAAAAATTCAAATCCAAAAGGAGGTCTTTCTTCCAAAATGGTCAAATTTCAATGAGGGGAATTTCATTGAGGATATTGGGTGTATATGGCCAGGAATAACCGGAAATAACTTAGGATTCTGGGGATGATAACTGGGGATAACCCGGGATAACCGAGGATGACTGTGGAAAACTGTGAATAACCAATGGATAACCAAGAATAACCAGTGGATAACCAGGGATAACCATAAAATAACCCGAGGATAACCAAATGATAATCGAGGATAGCTAAGGAATAACTAAAAAAAAATGCAAGCGTATACTAAACTTCGATAATTACATTTTGACAACATTATTGGACAGGTAGGTATTTGATCGCTATTAGACATAGATTCCAGCAGATAGTTGAGATATAACCGAGGATAATTAGGAATAACCAAGGATAACCGGAAATAACAGCGGATATCCAGAGAATAACCAGGAATAACCTCCGGTAAAATTCAAAATTTGGCTCTTGAAAAATCATCAGGAAAGTTCTCCAGCAATTCAAGAGCCGGTGATAATCAAAAATTGAACCGTCTGTCTCTAGAAAAATTATCCATCAGTAATCAAGAGCCGATAATTCATCAAAATTTTGAATTTCCTGGGCTCTGAATCCTTGGAAAACTTCAAGAGCCGAGAATGGTTCAAATTTTGATGATTATGGGCACTTGAATCTCTGATACATTTTTCTAGAAACAATCAAGAGTGGCTGATTCCAAATTTTGATTGCTACACCACACTAATGATATTGGCTCTGAAATCAATGGGAAATGTCTGAGAGCATAGTCGAAGTGAAATTTTACTTTAAAGTCTTAATTTTCATTAGGTAAAAACGAAGGGGATTTTATTGAGGATATTTGGTGTACCGGGTATAACCATAGGATAAATGGGGATAACTGGAAAAATGCAAACATATACTGAACTTAGAAGATTACATTAGGTATAGATATACTTATTAACAGTATAGGCAGTACCTACCTATAATAGCAAAAGAGAACCATATTCCAACAGGTAATTATAAAGGGATAACTGGGGATAATTGGGGATGACCAGTGATAACTGGAGATTAACTTGAAGTAGAAAGGAAGTTTGATGTACACAATCTTGCAATCCAAACCCCTATCGAATTTCAATTTTTTCCAGTAAACATCGTTATATTACCATTACCAGTGCTGAGTGCATAACAAATCTATAGTGGTTCTGTTACTATTTCCCACTCAACGTAACTAAGACGCCATGGAATACATATAGTTAGGTATATTACAATGTAATATAACATAAGTTTATTCATAAACTTTCAATGTAACGATTATAGAATAGACTACTCAAATTTATGATATTACCAACTTATCTGGATCATATATAAATATAATATGAAAGTTTGTTTACTGTCAAATGTCGTTATAATAATGTAAATGTAACTTAACCAGCTAATTGTTATGTACCTATATTGAATACTAATAATTGCAAACATATAAATATGTTATATAACTTGTTACTTCTAAGTTGTTTATGTAACGTCAATAATCAATGTCTGATGGGTTTTTCTCAGGAACTTTAGATCTAAATGATTTGAAATTTTGCAGGGTTTGTAGAAAAGCCTAGGAGAAAAACAACAAATAATTCAGAAACTTAGAATTTGAAAAACGAAAATGTTCCTCTATATCCATTCTCCAATAAAAAAAGAACAAAATGAATCAAAATTGTAAGAATTAGGAAGGAATAGAAGAAATAAAACTAAAGAAAAATTAAGGCATATAAGAATGAATATGGAATGAATAGAATGATAATAAAGGATAAAAGTTATATAGGCTGAAGAGGAAATGAAAATAAAGAACATGAAAATGAAGATAATGATGATGAATATGAGGGGAAGAAAGTAGCAGGAAGATCAACAAAATGCCTCAGAAAAAAAAACCTTTTAAAAAAAAGAACAACTGATCCTGATGATTAATTATGTGCCCCAACTTGTTTCAATTTAAAAATCCTGCGTCATTTTCCCAAAAACAAATTGCTTTACAAGCATATCAATTTTCAAGCAAGATTCCAATCTTGTCCGTGTATAAATAGTGGGTGCACTGCATGATTAAGATGCAACCGTTTTAAATTAATTAACTTTAATAATTTAATTCGTTTAGGTTCTGGCAGGATGGGTTTTTGGCAGGAGGCGCACTTTTAGCACCTTCTTTTCAATTATTTTTAGCATTCGAATGATTGACGATAGTTCACTTGTAGAATTATAGACGAGAAATATTCGAAAATTAAAATCGACGTATTATATTGTGAGTCAGAGTGAAAATACAAAAGTTGGCAAACTATACTGGTGTTCCAATAACCCGAAAGTTATGCGAGGATTTGAGCAGGAATGGACTATCTGATTTTGATTAACTATACCTACAAGTACAAGTTTATAGTTTAGGAGATTTTTTAAGGATGTTGTTATTGTTTTCTCAAGCATAAAACATTTTGAAATTATAATAAATTTTAGCTTTGATGTCCGGGATCCATTTTATCCGGTCCTGGACATATTATTCTCAGGAATTATTTTTATCCGTCAGTACAAAACTGAATAACTTGGTCTAAAAATAAAACTCCACCGGTTCTCTCGTAACAGACTTCTATTTTAATTGTCTTTTGGGATTCTTTTATAGGAGGTGTTTTTTTGCCTATATAGATACAATTCAGGAAAAATTGATTATTATTACAAGCTGCAATAAACCCCAGTCATTTATTATTAAATTTCCTTAATTTACGACCCTCTTTTTAGGCCAGATAATGCTTGATAAATTTTTTCCATTGTGCCTGAAAACTTCCTCATAAGCACTGTGAAAAATGGGTTTGATTAATTTAAAAACCCCCAATCATTTGATTAAATTAGCAGTGGTGATTGGGTGTACTTGTTTTTCGGTGTATCAGGTGAATTAGTTTTATATTGTCACTATTTTGAACAATAATTGTGCTTTTACAGGTTGGCAATTTCATAGAGCAACTGGTAACGCCTCCCATAACCACTTACTACAGTTTTCATTTGAACAAGACTATGAGTTACCCTTCGGTAACTATTTGTAGAAGACCCTCCTTTAAAATTGAACGTTTTTCGGTATAAAAATTATTGAAAAATTGATGAGCAACTATTATTTGTGATTTTTTAGAAATTCGGCTTGAGGCGCAACCGAAATCTCTTGGCTAGAAACTTCTTTCGTTATTTCTATTTCGACAACTACACTATTCGGGATTTTTTGAACGAAACCACTTACAGCTTTGATGAAGTTGTTGGTTCTCATGCTTACAATGGTTTGGGATCTAATTTAGCAGGTATTAACTTGAAAACATAGGTTAGTGACACTTATTTCCCCTTTGGTCAATTTTGTGCGGCATAGTAATTCAATTTTTTGGAAAGTGGATTTTTTTCTGTAAATTCGTAAAGAGGCCTTGGACGACATTTAATAAGCCTGGAAACTTCTCGGA